GAAGATCAATACTGACTTTAAAAGGCGCATCAAGCCTGGCTTTAAACAGCACATCAAGCCTGGCTTTAAACAGCGCATCAAGCCTGGCTTTAAACGGCACATTAATACTGGATTTAAACAGCACATCAAGCCTGGCTTTAAACGGCACATTAATACTGGATTTAAACAGTGCATCAAGCCTGGCTTTAAACGGCGCATCAAGCCTGGCTTTAAACTGCACATTAATACTGGATTTAAACAGCGCATCAAGCCTGGCTTTAAACGGCGCATCAAGCCTGGCTTTAAACGGCACATTAATACTGGATTTAAACAGTGCATCAAGCCTGGCTTTAAACGGAAGATCAATACTGACTTTAAACGGCGCATCAAGCCTGGCTTTAAAAAGCACATCAAGCCTGGCTTTAAAAAGCGCATCAAGCCTGGCTTTAAACGGCGCATCAAGCCTGGCTTTAAACGGCACATCAAGCCTGGCTTTACAGGGGGCATTAAGCCTGGCGTCAAAGGGTGCATTGAGCCTGGCTTCAAAGGGCTCCTTAAGTCTGGCTTCTAATGGCGCATTAATACTAGCTTTAAACAATGCATTAAGCCTGTCTTCAAAGGACGTCTTATGCCTGGCTTGAAACGGCGGCCTAAGCCTGGCATCAAACGTGTTCTAACAGAGGCTCTGAGTTTCCTTTAGCTCCAGGATCTGGAAAGTTAAAGAGGACAAAATCAATAAATGTTTCTTTTAATGTACCATATATTTATTTAATACATCAATAAATGATTAAATATTATATTACAGAATGTAATGTGCCTTTAAATATTTTTGAACAAATTCCTTAAAATACACATTTAATTATTTCCCTCTGTATTTCTTAATTTCATGGTGTCCGGCTTCTCTGATTCGTCATGAAACTGTTTAAACTGTCACAGTGGGCGGGATTAGAGGCCCTGACGTCTGATTGGCTGCTTCACACGGCAGGAAGAGACGACCGCTTCCTGGTTTGCTTTGACTCTGAGCTCAGTGCTTTCAATGCAAAGAGCAGAAATGACTTAAGAAAAGGAAAATCTCTGGAGTTTGATTTAGGGTACCAGTGTTGTTTGGAAGTTAAAAGTTAATTTCACCCCACGAGAGCTTGCTTTTCATTTTCTTCTTTAGTTTTGACCAACTATCCTGTAAATAAACACTTTACTCTTTGGCAAAGCAGACATTTTGCTTGGCTAAGTGTTATTAGCCGTCATCTTTCTGCGATCAAAGTATAAATGGCTGCAGGTCCTCCCACTGGGGCCAAACAGGCTGCACTTCCTGTTGGTTTAGATGCATCCATGGAAGCACAGAGTTCATTCATTCACATTCCAAACCGGCACGTTGGGAGGTAGAAAGAAAGCAGAGATCGTTTCCAGCGTAATCTGCTCCGAATGCAGGAGGCTTTAGAGGTAATGTTTAACGAGATTCTTCAAAGCTGGCTAGAGATGCAAGAACACAGACCTGCAGGGGGTGAGAGGCTGTGGCTGCTGGAAGAGCATGTCTGAGGTAGAGAAAGGAAGGAGAAACCATACAGAGAAGAAAACACTGAGATTTAAAACTGAAAATTTGTTTCAATAATCTTAAGTTGATCCTTGCACATAAACAACCTTCTGTGATCGTTGCCAAGATGGTCCATCTGCAGCCTGGATGGATTTGGACAAAAGTCTAAGCCGGGATTGGCTCCTGTCACCAAATTAGGAGTTTAGCCGTGGGAATAGAATGAATCTGCAATCTAGAATAGAAATGAAAAGAATGTAAAAGTGACTGTTTGGCTGCAGGTTTCTATCAGCCAAGCCGCTCGCTGTCCTGGCACCTTTTAAGCTTTCTTTTTTTTTTCTTTTTTTTTACATCCCATAATAGGTCGTCTTTGCATGGTGTGTGTTCTGCTGTTTTTAGTACCACGGTTTTCCCAGTAAATATGTTTTCCATACTGAGGGTCCTCCCAGTGGCTTCCAGGAGCCAGAGGCCCCGGGTTCACTGCCTCCATGACGAGGCGTTGAACCCGGCTTTGGAAGTACATCTCCTGCTCTGAGAGGAGCAGAGACTCTCTCTTCTCAAACTGGGGGGGGTGACATCCCGACCTTAGCGTCGCTCTTCAGTCTGGTTTCCAGTACGTCCTGCTGGAGAACATTAACCCTGAAAGCAGAACGTTTGGTTGCTTTTCCTGAAGAGTTTCTATTTCTCATAGAACTGAACATTTTTCCTATATTGCTCTGAATGTTCTCCGGTAGAACACTCTGGACGCCTACCCCTGTGGATCTGACCACACCCCCAGCCCCATGGCCAGCCGCATCCCCGTGCTGGAGGAGACCATCCTGGACAGCCCATCCGCTCGGCTCACAGCCGTGGCTGTCAGCAAGAGGGCCGGACACACCATCGCCTTCCTGGGAGACGCCAAGGGGAACCTCCACAAGGTAACCGACCACACTGGATCATCTTCACCTTTCTGTGGGAAACAGTCACAGAGGAGTACTGCTAGACCAGGGGTTCCCAAAGGGGGGTCCGGGACCCCACTGGGGCCGAGATGGGCGAGATTCTGACATCATCAGATCATGACATGATCTGTGTTCATTTAACATCTGATATCCTATCAGATGTTTCACCTAGCCACAGCTGAGCGTCTGATGTAGAAATAGAAGCATGATGATAGATTCCCTTTTTATGACGTCATCCACACCTGAAGGCCGTCTCCTCGGACTCTCGCTGCTTACATCTAGATGTTGTGTTACATACATACAGATCTTATGTTAGATGTAACATAACATCTAGATGTAACATCTAGAAGTAACATCTTCTGTTACATCTATGTAACTGTAACATAACATCTAGATTTAGCATCTAGAACTGACATCTAGATGTTACATCTTTGTTACATCTAGATGATATGTTACATTTAGATGTAACATAACATATAGTTAACATCTAGATGTAACATAATGTAAAAAAAAACTGTCATTTAGATGTAATATCTATATTCTGTTACAACTAGATGTCACATAACATCTAGATTTAGCATCTAGATGTAACATAACGTAACCCCCCGTAAGATTTAGATGCTATATCTAGATGTTATCTTACATCTAGTTGCTAAATCTAGATGCTATGTTACAACATCATAACAACATCTAGATGTTATGATGTAATATCTAGATGTTACAGCTAGATTTAACATGACATCTCGATGTAACATGTAGATGTTACATCTAGTTGCTAAATCTAGATGCTGTTACAACATTATAAAAACATCTAGATGTTACATATCTAGATGTTACAGCTAGATTTAACATAACATCTAGCTGTAACATGTAGATGTTACATCTAGTTGCTAAATCTAGATGCTGTTACAACATTATAAAAACATCTAGATGTTACATATCTAGATGTTACAGCTAGATTTAACATAACATCTAGCTGTAACATGTAGATGTTACATCTAGTTGCTAAATCTAGATGCTGTTACAACATCATAAAAACATCTAGATGTGATGATGTAATATCTAGATGTTACAGCTAGATTTAACATAACATCTAGATGTTACATCTAGATGTTACATATCTAGATGTTACAGCTAGATTTAACATAACATCTAGCTGTAACATGTAGATGTTACATCTAGTTGCTAAATCTAGATGCTGTTACAACATCATAAAAACATCTAGATGTGATGATGTAATATCTAGATGTTACAGCTAGATTTAACATAACATCTAGATGTTACATCTAGATGTTACATATCTAGATGTTACAGCTAGATTTAACATAACATCTAGCTGTAACATGTAGATGTTACATCTAGTTGCTAAATCTAGATGTTATCTTACAACATCATAAAAACATCTAGACGTTATGATGTAATATCTAGATGTTACAGCTAGCTGTAACATAACATCTAGCTGTAACATGTAGATGTTACATCTAGATGCTAAATCTAGATGTTATGTTACATCTAGATGTAACATAACATCTAGATGCTAAATCTAGATGTTATGTTACATCTAGATGTAACATAACATCTAGATGTAACATGTAGATGATACTTCTAGTTGCTAAATCTACATGTTATGTTACATGTAGATGTAACATAACATCTAGCTGTAACATGTAGATGTTACATCTAGTTGCTAAATCTAGATAGATGTAACAAAACATGTAGATGTAAGCAGTCAGGGTCAGAGGAGCCGGCCTTCAGGTGTAGAGCATGTCACAAAGAGGGAATCTATCATCAGGTTTCTATTTCTACGTCAGGCGCTCAGCTGCGACCTGCTGGGATTCTGTCCGCCCTACACGGCAGCGGTGACCCTTTAACGTTTATACACTTGCTTGAAAACAGCCTGATACAGACGTCTGCTTCCGTTTGACCATTAAAGAAGGTAAAAGTGTTCAGAAGGTGATTAAAGAAGCTGAGGAAGCAGGATGGAGTTCAGAGGTCATCAGACTGGGCTGCAGGCCTGAGGCTGTCTGACGCCGCCTGCTGAGGATGCATGAACCTCAGAGACGGCGCATTAAAGCTCTGCTGCATCTTCTCTTCAGGTTTTCCTGGGTCCGGATGGCGAGGTGGAGGAATACTCTGTGATCTCCATCCAGAGGAACACACCTATCAGCTCAGACCTCCTTCTGGACCAGGAGGAGGAGCATCTGTTCATCATGACCCCTAACATGGTACAGAAGCGGTTCATGCTGCATGCCTGCTCCCCACCGTGTTAAAGAAGGAAATGACTCTTTGGTTTCTGCTCCAGTTCTCCCAGTAATGCTGCTGGGATTATTTTTGATATTATTCCGGTTCTGTCCTTGTTGCTCTGGGAATGTGGGCCATCTATTGTTTGTAATCAGATTTCTGCCGGCTTAGCGGGATGATTTGCACTACTGAACGTGATTGTTTTTGTCCCGGGTGCAGCTGCAGAAGAGGCCCGTGGCTGAATGCCAGCAGCACCCAGACTGCCACTCCTGCCTGCTGGCCCATGACCCCTACTGCGGCTGGTGCATCCTGGAGGGAAGGTGAGATCAGCAGCACAACCGGCCAGGCCACCTTAAAAAACTCACTGCTGATTATTTTCTCTTTGACGCTCGTAAAGTTTAGAGATTTTAAGGCAGATCAAAGTCAGTCGGTCCGCAGGGCGAAAACGTCTCAAAACATTTCCACGAATCGAGACTCTGCTCCATCTAAGGGCATCTTTAAACCTGCCAAACATCACATTTGGATTTTTTTGTAACTTTAAGAGACATTTTATAGTTTTTATCAAAAAATATTTTTAAGCCCCACCCCCTCAGAATGAGTTCTTCTCTCCTGGTTTTCTCCCTTCCCTCCTGCTGGGAAACGGTATGGCTGCTCCTCCATTTTTTTTTTTTTTTTTTTTTTTTTAGAAAAAAAAAAACAGTTTTACTCCAATGAAAACATGGCTTCATAAATGTGTAAAACTTTTTTTGTACTTAATTGATCTCACATTGGAGAAATTTACTCTGCATTTAATCCATCCCCTATGGGAGCAGTGGGCTGCCATTGTGCGGCGCCCGGAGTACAATGTGGGGTTAAGGGTCTTACTCAGGGACCCAGAGTGCAGGCTATGGGGATCGAACCGGATACTTGCAACCTTCTCGGAGCACAAGTGCTCTATTCCAACCCACTCAGTCCCTGTTTGTCCCTTTCCAGCCTCTGTAATCAAAGATGGCGAAGCAGCAGGGCACCTTCCATTGGCTGCAGCGCCACTTATGTGTTTAAAACGATTCACCCTGAGTCATAGGAAAGCTTTATTAGGACTTTTATTAGACTGAATGTGTTTTTTATCAGAGAAATATTTTATTTTTGATGATTAAAAAGTCAAACTAGCAGTAATCTATAAATACAGATCTATAAAGGATCAAGTTTGGAAGCAGTTTTCAGTTACGTCCAGTTTTCCGCCTGGTGGCGTTTGCTGAGGCGGGTTAAACGGTGCAGACATCCAACGCCTGGTTTGCCTCTCGTCCTTCAGGTGTGTCCTGAAATCAGAGTGCAGCCGTGGAAGCCGACCAGGCGAGTGGCTGTGGAGCTTCGACATGGAGCAGCAGTGTCTGAGCGTCCAGGACCTGAACCCCTTCAACATCAGCAGGGAGGAGAGCAGGACGGTAAGACCTGTAGATGTCTTCCCTACAGGGAAAACACTCTGAGGTCTAGGAAGGCTCATTAGAGGCGCTCCATCGCCGTCCACCACCATCTTCCTGCTTTCCCCTTGGTGTTGGTCCTTCCCCACTAACTGCAGCCGTCTCTGTAGCTGCAGCAGCAGCAGGGGAAGCTTTTCCCACAGAGAGGCTGCTGACGGTTTGCTTAGTGAAACCCAGGTGCTATCCTTTGTTTTCCCAGACATTTGGTTGTGATTTGAATGTGGACAGAGACGTTTCTCTCTCTGCAGGTGTCCCTGTCCATCCCAGGACTCCCCCTGTTGGACAGAGGCGAGTCCTACTCCTGCTCCTTCCAGTCCAGCTCCAGCCCTGCCACCATCACCCAGGCTGGAGTTGCATGCCAGTCTCCAGACTCCAGCAGAATTCCTTCGGTGCCTCCTGGACAGGGTGAGTCCGGTGGGGGGGGGGACTGTCTGAGGGATTTTAATTACTGCTATGAGCTTTTTGCTTTTGTGACGGAGGGATTTGGAGGCCAGTTGGGTTGGGATTAACCTTTATGCTGTGTTTGGATCAGCGGACGTTTGCACGCACGCAGCTCTAATCTAATCGAATGCATTCCAGTTTCCAACCAGCTGATCCACCGGAGCTTTCATTTCCGTTAGTGTCCCATTAGAGACGGAAAAAAACAGAGAGACGCTCACATTGACGCATTAAGCAAAACTTTGGAGGTGATTCTGCATCAACAGGTTCAGAACAAACAATTTCCTCAGTTTACTTAAAAAAAAACAAAAAAACGTAAATATTACGGCAAGTTTCATTTCAGGAACGAGACGACCTGATCCGGTTCTAGATTTAAAGCTGTCCAATCAGACGGTCCCGTTTGATCTGATGTCACCGCAGCAGGTAGCCCATCATTAGCAGCAGCGGCTCGGCTAGTGGAGTCATGGCAGCAACGCCTCGTCTGACGGTTTTTAATTAACCGGAGATAAAACCATAGATCTATGGCCCGTACCTGCTTCCATCTATTGTCTCTTCATGGTTCATGTCTGGATCTAAAAAAAATGTTTCCGTCTGTTTCAGCTGAGATTTATTTGTTATGTACGGAAGAAAAACGGTCTCATTGAAATCTACCTTTTTTTCTAGGCTATAATTTAAAAACTTAATTTTTTTAAACATTGAATTCCTTACACTGATTTTTTTATCCAGTATAAATAATATTTGTCTCCAAAAAATGTTGCTGCAAAAAAATTCATGTGCAAATGTGTTGACGTTTTGGTGAATTGAAGCCAAAGCAATCTACGCTCCATGCAGCCGAGCAGCTTTTAGCCAATGAAATGAGCTCCTTTGGTCATGTGACCCAACAGATTGGGCGTAGCTTTGTTCCTAAACTAAACGAAGCTGAATGAGGAGTTTTTCTTGTTAAATAGATATGATTACAAAACTTCAGGTAGCTACTAATAGACAGCCATTGGAGTTTTTCATCTAATGACTAATAACTGAGCCAATCGCAGCTAGTGCGGCACCCCCGTCTGTCCAGGCTCTTGGTTTGACCCGGAAGAAGCGGCCAGCTGCAGATGAGCTAATTTCATTGGCTAGAAGCCGCTTCTCTGCATCGAGTGTAGATTGCTGAAGCTTAAGTTCACCAAAAGGTCAACACATTTGCAGGCGACCTTTTTGCAGGTTAATTTTTTGCTGCTGAATTTTCACCATATATAAATTCATGGTAAGGAATTTAATGTCTACAAAAAATTCAGTGTTTAAAAAGCCATCTACAAAAAAATGCAGATTCCAATGAGAGTGTTTTTTTTCCATAGTTTTGGTCTCATGTTCGTCATGTAAAGAAGAATGAAGGGATGATGATGCTCATCATCATCATCAGATGCTCAGTCTGTGTTCTTTCTTCAGATTTTGTCACCCTGGCCTTGTCTGTTCGCTTCGGGGACGTCACGGTGGCAGAGAGAGATTTCACCTTCTATGACTGCATGGCGGTGAAGCAGCAGTCAGGAAGCACGCCGTAAGTTTCCCAGACTTCATTGCTTCATTTAATACCTGCTCCTGTTTTTTTGTGGCTTCATCACTTCTTATGAATAATAACCTTCTGATTGGCCCATGGACCACAGGAGTGTTTAGTGAAGACAGCTCTGGATGGAAATTGTCCTTCAGAGCAGCTCCACAGACTCATTGATTCAGCAATCCCTCACACTAAACATGCATGTAACGACGTTTGAGAGGAAAAACTCCCTTTGAACAGGAAGAAACCTCCAGCAGAACCAGGCTCAGTGTGAGCGGCCATCTGCTGAGGCCCACTGGGGTTCAAGGAGACAGAAGCAGACATAGAAAAAGAAAAAAATTGAAGCTGTGAGCTATCTTATCAAACAGTAAACTAGCTTCACAGGTGGCTTTGTCTGGGAAAGAAACTGTTAATCAGACAAACTCTGAGCCAGTAGTAAAGATTCTGCAGAGTGGGAGAATAGAGATAGAATGAAGCAGAATGATGAAAAAGGGGTCCCTATGTCCTCCAGCAGTCTAAGCCTATAGCAGCAGAACTATAGAGATAGCTCAGGATAACCTGAGCCACTCTAACTAGAAGCTTTATCAAAAAGTAAAGTTTTAAGCCTAGCCTTAAAGGAATAGTACACCCAAAACATGATTAGCCTTCATTTTCTACTCACCCCTATGCTGAACAACACTCTGGAGTACTTTTTTGATATCTCAAATGCATCTGGAGATCTGGGAGGCTTCTTGCTGTCTGCTGACATTCAAATAATGGAGGTCTATGGCGCCCGAGGCAGAAAGGTCCATAAAAGTCCACAAAAAACGTGTCAATATTCCTCCATACTGCTCGTCCAATGTATTCCAAGTGTCCTGAGTGGGTAGCGTCCATAATTTACTCGAAACGAAGTCATTTAGAATGTTTTTAGAGCATAAACAGTAGTGTATAGGATTTCCTAAAAGCGCGTTCACGAGTCTACGGAAGCCGGCAGACCAAACCAGATGAAAGTGCGCATTCAGCGTCCGCTCTGCCGATAATGCAAGCGTAGAAGAAGAAATGTGCTGTTTACCTGTGCAAAGAAAGAAACAACGAAAGAAAAATGTCTGAGGACTTCAGTGTTGAGGAAGAGCATGAGTTCTTTGCCGAGCTGAATGCGCACTTTCGTCTGGTTTGGTCTGCCGCGGTTTCCGTAGACTCGTGAACGCACTTTCAGGAAATCCTATACACTACTGTTTATGCTCTAAAAACATTCTAAATGACTTCGTTTAGAGTAAATTATGGACGCTACCCACTCAGGACAGTTGGAATACATTGGACGAGCAGTATGGAGGAATATTGACACGTTTTTTGTGGACTTTTATGGACCTTTCTGCCTCGGGCGCCATAGACCTCCATTATTTGAATGTCAGCAGACAGCAAGAAGCCTCCCAGATCTCCAGATGCATTTGAGATATCAAAAAAGTACTCCAGAGTGTTGTTCAGCATGGGGGTGAGTAGAAAATGAAGGCTAATCATGTTTTGGGTGTACTATTCCTTTAAAAGTAGACAGGGTGTCTGCCTCACGGACTAAAACTGGTAGTTGGTTCCACAGGAGAGGAGCCTGAGAACTAAAAGATCTGCCTCTCATTCTACTTTTAGAAATTCTAGGAACCACTAGTAAACCTGCAGATTGAGAGCGAAGTGCTCTGTTAGGAACATAAGGAACAATCAGATCTCTGATATCAGATGGAGGATGGATTAACTGAGTCCTCATCTATGGTTTTCTGTCAGTTACCTCATTGTATGAAAACCACCGAGATTCTGTTTGAATCTAATAATAAAGTCTGAAAACACTGAGATCCAACCATCCACCTGTCCCTGAGTCAGCACATGGCTCAGGCTCTTTTTTTCCCCTCCGATCTTAATTTACTCCTACATGAAGTCCAAGCAGGAGGAGATGTTATGAGTGAGCAGAGGGGCGTGAACATGTTTACGTTTCTCTCTTCTGAGGGAAACTCGAACTCCCCACAGTAGAAAGCAGCATCATGGAGGCAGTGATTGCATAAAACTTTCCAGTCCTCAGCTGTGTGGAGAACAGCTTCCCTTCTGTCCTTAGCAGCTCAGGGTCTGGAATAAATGTCTGTCACCAATAAACTGTGGTTTGTGTGTCGAGGCAGGCCAGGTCCAAAGTTCATCTTTTCACACCTCATGGCGGAGCTTTGAAAGTTTTGCTTGGTTCTTGCCGTGTGCCGTGGTGGCTCACAGCTCCTGTTGTGTCTGTGTGCAGCTGCCGTGGATGTGTGCTGAGCAAGTGGGGCTGTAACTGGTGCGTCAGCCAGCACTCCTGCACCCACAGACCCACCTGTGAGGAGGGAGTGATCATCTACAACCAGCATGTAAGTCCCAGTACACCAGCGCCGCAGGCCGCACGCCGCGCCGTGTCACACGCGTTCCCGCTCTGCTCCACCGTCATGCTAACAGCTCGTCTAAAATCATGATCACTCATATCTCTTTTAAGATTTTTCAAAGTAAAACGTTTAATTTGCTCGTTTTGCTCCCAGTCTTGTCGCTAAGGTGTCTGCATGATGTTTTATTCTAGTTTTGTTTCATTTTTTTTTTTCAAGATTTTGATTTTTCTCACCCTCCCCCATATACCCCCCCTTCCCTTCCCTCCCCAGTTTAAACTCCCCACATCTCCTCCTCCCACCACCAAAACCATTAAAGTCATCTCCACATCCGTCACCACCGCGGCTACAGCAACAACACCCACCATGACCACAACTACACCGCCAACCGCCGCCACGACAATCCCTGCTCCCGTCACCATAGCAACCAGCTGGGAGCTAGCCACCTCGGCCTGGCCTGAACCCCCAACGGGGTCTTTTACGGTGTACCTTACGCCCTCCAGCACAGCCCCGCCCCCTGAAGGCCCCGCTGCAACGGATGACCTGCTTGTTGTCACTCGGAGTAATTCTGAAGAGGCTGCCGTAACGCCAAGCGTTGCTGTGGCGGCAGCAGAGCTGCAGCCCGCCACTGGGGCCGATGGTCTTAGTGGAGACCAGGAGCCCCTGATGCCCCTCATCCTCTCAGATGCCTCCACCCTCACGGTGGTCACAGAGTCTCCCTCTAGTGATGCACAGGAAGCTGAGGAGCCTCCAACGCAGGCCTCGCCCGGCGCTCAGGTGCCCACCGCCGCCTCTGTAGCAGAACTGGCCCTCACTGTGCCTTCCCCTCCCCCGGAGATCACCCAGGTTCTACGTAACCCCTCTGAACCCAGCATGAAGTCAAAGGAAGTAGACGCTCCACCAGAGGGCGCCATGGCGGCAGAAGAGGACACGGCTACGCTCTCAGCTCCTACGGTGCTCTCAGGTGACGGGGAAGACCGTGACCCCCCCTCATACGCACACCTCAGGGAGGCAGACTCAGATCCAGAGCTGGATTACCAGTATGACTCAGCTGACGCCTTCCTACCGGTGAGTTGGGACTCCTTAGCCTGCCTCTACTCTTCAACACTTCCCAGTCCCTCCCAGTTCTCCCAGCGTCAGACTGGACGCTACCTTCCAGCCTTTGCCTCTGTTCCTGCTCCCCCTGTCTGTTTCCTGTTTCTATGGGATGAAGGACGATAACGAGCCGTGTGGCGTTAGGAAGCGTTATCTCTCCTAACTGCGCTAGATCCGTCAGCGGACGCTCCAGATTTCCACCATCATAGGACGGCCTCTTGTCTCATGCCGAACACCAGCTTTACGCTGTGTCAGACACCAGGTTTGACTTGATTTACTGTGAAGAAACGGTCACCAGAGTGACATTAAAACTGGCTTCACTTAGCACCGTTAGCTCAGCTAGCTCGCCATAGCTTTTCTCCCTAAGTATACTTTAGCCGCCTTTAACCAACACTGACGCTGCTACAAGATGCCAACAAAGGAATCAGATACAGGAAGGCAAATCTTAATGCCCTGTCTGTCTGATTTACTGCCATCTATTGGTTAGCTAAATGAATTACTGCCATCTATTGGTTAGCTAAATGAGTTACTGCCATCTATTGGTTAGCTAAATGCATTACTGCCATCATTTGGTTAGCTAAATGAATTACTGCCATCTAGTGGTTAGCTAAATGAATTGCTGCCATCTATTGGTTAGCTAAATGAGTTACTGCCATCTATTGGTTAGCTAAATGAATTACTGCCATCTAGTGGTTAGCTAAATGAGTTACTGCCATCTATTGGTTAGCTAAATGAATTACTGCCATCTATTGGTTAGCTAAATGAGTTACTGCCATCTATTGGTTAGCTAAATGAATTACTGCCATCTATTGGTTAGCTAAATGAGTTACTGCCTTCTAGTGGTTAGCTAAATGAATTACTGCCATCTATTGGTTAGCTAAATGAATTACTGCCATCTATTGGTTAGCTAAATGAGTTACTGCCATCTATTGGTTAGCTAAATGCATTACTGCCATCATTTGGTTAGCTAAATGAATTACTGCCATCTAGTGGTTAGCTAAATGAATTGCTGCCATCTATTGGTTAGCTAAATGAGTTACTGCCATCTATTGGTTAGCTAAATGAATTACTGCCATCTAGTGGTTAGCTAAATGAATTACTACCATCTAGTGGTTAGCTAAATAAGTTACTGCCATCTAGTGGTTAGCTAAATGAATTACTGCCATCTAGTGGTTAGCTAAATGAATTACTGCCATCTATTGGTTAGCTAAATGAATTACTGCCATCTATTGGTTAGCTAAATGAATTACTGCCATCTAGTGCTTGGCTAAATGAATTACTGCCATCTATTGGTTAGCTAAATGAATTACTGCCATCTAGTGGTTAGCTAAATGAATTACTGCTATCTATTGGTTAGCTAAATGAATTACTGCCAGCTAGTGGTTAGCTAAATTAATTACTGCCATCTAGTGGTTAGCTAAATGAATTACTGCCATCTAGTGGTTAGCTAAATGAATTACTGCCATCTATTGGTTAGCTAAATGAATTACTGCCATCTATTGGTTAGCTAAATGAATTACTGCCATCTATTGGTTAGCTAAATTAATTACTGCCATCTTTTGGTTAGCTAAATGAATTACTGCCATCTAGTGGTTAGCTAAATGAATTACTGCAATCTAGTGGTTAGCTAAATGAGTTACTGCCATCTAGTGGTTAGCTAAATGAATTACTGCCATCTATTGGTTAGCTAAATGAATTACTGCCATCTAGTGGTAAGCTAAATGAATTACTGCCATCTATTGGTTAGCTAAATGAATTACTGCCATCTAGTGGTTGGCTAAATGAATTACTGCCATCTATTGGTTAGCTAAATGAATTACTGCCATCTAGTGGTTAGCTAATTGAATTACTGCCATCTATTGGTTAGCTAAATGAATTACTGCCAGCTAGTGGTTAGCTAAATGAATTACTGCCATCTAGTGGGTAGCTAAATGAATTACTGCCATCTAGTGGTTAGCTAAATGTATTACTGCCATCTATTGGTTAGCTAAATGAATTACTGCCATCTAGTGGTTGGCTAAATGAATTACTGCCATCTATTGGTTAGCTAAATGAATTACTGCCATCTAGTGGTTAGCTAAATGAATTACTGCCATCTATTGGTTAGCTAAATGAATTACTGCCAGCTAGTGGTTAGCTAAATGAATTACTGCCATCTAGTGGTTAGCTAAATGAATTACTGCCATCTAGTGGTTAGCTAAATGAATTACTGCCATCTATTGGTTAGCTAAATGAATTACTGCCATCTATTGGTTAGCTAAATGAATTACTGCCATCTATTGGTTAGCTAAATGAATTACTGCCATCTTTTGGTTAGCTAAATGAATTACTGCCATCTAGTGGTTAGCTAAATGAATTACTGCCATCTAGTGGTTAGCTAAATGAATTACTGCCATCTAGTGGTTAGCTCAATGAATTACTGCCATCTATTGGTTAGCTAAATGAATTACTGCCATCTAGTGATTAGCTAAATGAATTACTGCCATCTTTTTGGTTAGCTAAATGAATTACTGCCATCTAGTGGTTAGCTCAATGAATTACTGCCATCTATTGGTTAGCTAAATGAATTACTGCCATCTAGTGGTTAGCTAAATGAATTACTGCCATCTAGTGGTTAGCTAAATGAATTACTGCCATCTTTTTGGTTAGCTAAATGAATTACTGCCATCTATTGGTTAGCTAAATGAATTACTGCCATCTAGTGATTAGCTAAATTAATTACTGCCATCTTTTTGGTTAGCTAAATGAATTACTGCCATCTATTGGTTAGCTAAATGAATTCTTGCCATCTAGTGATTAGCTAAATGAATTACTGCCATCTATTGGTTAGCTAAATGAATTGCTGCCATCTAGTGGTTAGCTAAATGAATTACTGCCATCTAGTGGTTAGCTAAATGAATTACTGCCATCTTTTTGGTTAGCTAAATGAATTACTGCCATCTATTGGTTAGCTAAATGAATTACTGCCATCTTTTGGTTAGCTAAATGAATTACTGCCATCTAGTGATTAGCTAAATGAATTACTGCCATCTTTTTGGTTAGCTAAATGAATTACTGCCATCTATTGGTTAGCTAAATGAATTACTGCCATCTAGTGATTAGCTAAATTAATTACTGCCATCTAGTGGTTAGCTAAATGAATTGCTGCCATCTAGTGGTTAGCTAAATGAGTTACTGCCATCTATTGGTTAGCTAAATGAATTACTGCCATCTAGTGGTTAGCTAATGATGATCGTGGTATTTAGCACTCATATAAAGTCAATGGGGATGATCACATCCAACACTATTTCCTGCAGGGGGCAGCATAGCTCCAACTGAGATAAACCCCTGGTCAATTTAATCAGACTACGCAGCAATTCAGCAACAATTTCATGGGTCTGACGACGAGAGACGTGGTTACAAAATAAAACACATCCGCTTTGGAGGAAAATACAAAATAAAATCTGTTAAGGGAATAGTACACCCCAAAACATGATTAGCCTTCATTTTCTACTTCAACTACTTTTTTGATATCTCAAATGCATCTGGAGATCTGGGAGGCTTCTTGCTGTCTGCTGACATTCAAATAATGGAGGTCTATGGCGCCCGAGGCAGAAAGGTCCATAAAAGTCCACAAAAAACGTGCCAATATTGCTCCATACTGCTCGTCCAATGTATTCCAAGTGTCCTGAGTGGGTAGCATCCAGAATTTACTCGAAACGAAGTCATTTAGAATGTTTTTAGAGCATAAACAGTAGTGTATAGGATTTCCTAAAAGCGCGTTCACGAGTCTACGGAAACCGCGTCAGACCAAACCAGATGAAAGTGCGCATTCAGCGTCTGCTCTGCCGATAATGCAAGCGTAGAAGAAGAAATGTGCTGTTTACCTGTGCAAAGAAAGAAACAACGAAAGAAAAATGTCTGAGGACTTCAGTGTTGAGGAAGAGCATGAGTTCTTTGCCGAGCTGAATGCGCACTTTCATCTGGTTTGGTCTGCCGCGGTTTCCGTAGCGTTGTGAACGCGCTTTCAGGAAATCCTATACACTACTGTTTATGCTCTAAAAACATTCTAAATGACTTCGTTTCGAGTAAATTATGGACGCTACCCACTCAGGACACTTGGAATACATTGGACGAGCAGTATGGAGGAATATTGACACGTTTTTTGTGGACTTTTATGGACCTTTCTGTCTCGGGCGCCATAGACCTCCATTATTTGAATGTCAGCAGACAGCAAGAAGCCTCCCAGATCTCCAGATGCATTTGAGATATCAAAAAAGTACTCCAGAGTGTTGTTCAGCATGGGGGTGAGTAGAAAATGAAGGCTAATCATGTTTTGGGTGTACTATTCCTTTAATCTCACGGGGAAAGAGTCAGTTTGGAATCGCTCATCGCTCTTATAGTGAGCAGGACAGACTGGAGCAATGAATGAAACATTAAAATAGAAAAGTTTCCCCATGACAGGAATTCAGGAGGACAGAAAACAGATAAAGTAGTGATCCTCTTTGAGCCTCACAGAAACCAAAATAAGGAGAGGCAGACAGAGCAGGTAAACGCAGGGTATCTCTCTCACCTCTTTATGGAAAAAAGAAAGAAAAACTTGGATAAACTTCCCAGATCTCTCTGAGAATCACCTCTCTGCCTCAGTAACCATAGAAACCGTCCCACAGAGTTTATTGCTGCGTTTTTCTTTGCTGTATAGAATGCAGCTGTGGTTTTTTATTATTTTTTAAACATTTTCATAATCTGTTCCAGTCAAATGTGACAGATCTGCTCACTCTGCCTAGTCGGAGCCTCTCTATGCAGAACGGATCAGAGATTAAAAAGTCGTACATAAGCGTTGTGTTCAAGCTTTTATATGTAAATCCTAAGTTGAATCAGAGGACGCTACGGCTGAACAGTCAAAACATAAAAAATCGTATTTCTCCTTCACTCCTTCTCTGTTAAACTGAGCGAATTTCTGAGGGTAAAACAAACAGAAGTCAACAGCATTTAAAACGACTGAAATCTAAAAAAAAAGTCTGCTGCAGTGGGATTGGATGCAGGTACGTTCCTTCTGCCGAAATATGACAGGATTGACTTGAAAAGGTTCAGTTTTCAGAACATTAGGGGACTCTGAGGATGGCTGAACTTATCCATGTGTGGCCCTGCAGGGTGATGAGGGTCCCTACATCAGCTGGGGCTCCTCGGCGTGTCCCTGTGTGGAGAAGGTCCAAGGATCGTCCCTGCTGCCTGTCCAAGTGGAGAGGAAGATCACCTTACTGGCACGCAACCTCCACCTCTATCAGGTCCGAAACACCGAGCCCTCAGAGCCCCAAGGGGACGGCGGACTGGTCTTTGACCCTGGTCTGTGTGTGCAGGACGCAGAGCTGGACTATGAGTGTGTGCTGGTTATCGAGGGCCAGACGGTGGTGGTGGACGCCTTCGTGGAAGCCGACGACATGAATCCATCAAACTTCTACATCACCTGTCAGCTTCACAAGGTTTGGGCCTGAGAAGCTTCTCAGTAATGATTGTTTTTGTTCAGCAGGGAGCTCAGCTAGCTCTACGGCTGCCTTTTCAGGAGCTCAGAGCCTCCATGTTTATCCACAAGCAGCTCGGAGACGCTGTGGGTCCCCTCAGGTTCACCAGGAAACCCTGAGAGGGTCGGTGTCTGGGTCTCTGCCACCTCCGTTTAGCGTAGTGTGGGATCCAGCTGCAGCTGATGAGAAACATCTGGAATTTATTTACCTTCATCTTTTTGGGTGTTAGCCCCACAAAGGCACGGTAAAATTGTGATGAGGAAGTGATCATTTTCTAGTTTATGCTTCATTTTTAAGTCCTGATGGAAAAAAAAACAGAAGATAGAAGAAGAAGCTGTTAAGAGCATCCTTTATGGAAAAGGTTTAAAATAGAAAACATCAGATAGGAAGCAAATATGGACGCCTTCCATACGACCCACAGTGATGAGAAATAAGCTGATTTTAGAGAAGAAATAATTTTTATTTTAGCATAAAGTTTTACAGGAAGAATTTTCTCTATTGAGTAAAATAGAAAAACCATCTTGATATTTCTTCCCAATAACAGCCATTTTCTTTGCCCTTCAGGGTGTGTTCTCATATAACGGGATTCAGTCGCGTTAATTTTTTAGAACCTGCTCCATTAATCCTTCAGGAATGTTCCAAAAATAGTTAAAAAAACAATCCACTGGACTTTGTTTCCAAGTTTGAAGACGTTTCTCTTCCATCCAGGAAGCTTTTTCAATTCAAAGTGTCAGAAATAGCGTTTAGTTCCAGGTTTTATCCAGCAGCCCAACAAAGCCTGGTTTTTGTTTAGAAAACATGCAAATAGAAACGGATGAACGGATCCCACCCCTCTGGAATGGGGGTCATTTGGTCTCTTTTGTTACCCTGCAATGCCCCATACCTGTCTATGTCTCTGAGACGTGGGTTGCTAGAGGGCATTGTTGGCCTGGCTGAACAGACAGGGTCTCCTGCTCTCCTGTAAAGGGGTGTGGTTTCCAGAACGTTCGGATTCAGCAGCCGGCCGACAGCAACTCGGTCCGACCGCGCCGGCATGGCGATCCGGCGATGTAGGAGTTTGCCCTGAAGTCAAAGGGTTGACGGTTCAAGCCCCGACTCCGACTTTCAGTGTCGTTGTGTCCTTGGGCAAGGCACTTCACCTGCATTGTCTACTGATGGTGGTCAGAGGGCCCGGTGGCGCCAGTGTACGGCAGCCCCGCAACGGTCAGTGAGCCCCAGGGCAGCTGTGGCTAGAATGTAGTGTGTGTGTGAATGAATGTAGTGTAAAGCGCTTTGGTCAGGTCTCCCGCCTTGAATAAAGGTGCTATATAAGTACATGCCGTTTACCATTCTCTCTCCCTGTGTTCAGTACGCGTACCTGGCTCAGGCAGAGGAGTACGCTGCCATGGTGTACGTGAAAAGGAGGAACACCTTCCACCTGGACACCTCTCCTAACCTCTCTGGTGAGATCGACCACTCTTCTCCGATGTCAAAGCGCATGGCATTCCTTCTGACTGCCAGTCAGGTGGCTGGAAGACTGGTTTGGGTGTGAATGTTCTGTTTGTTCTCTTGCTCTCAGTGACCCTGTATAACTGCTCTGTCGGGCGGTCAGACTGCAGCCGCTGCCATACGGCGGCCCACAAGTATGGCTGCGTGTGGTGCGGCGGTCCTGTGGCCAAATGCTTGTATTCTGCCTCCTGCAGTGAGCAGGTCCAGCAGACATGCCCCGCTCCTGTCATTCTCTCAGTGAGTTCCTGCCCTCAGGGATCTTTCTGGCTCTTCCTCCATTAGAAATGCTCCAACCGCCGCTCCTGAAGACCGCTTGGTAAATGCTCTGGGCTTTCCGCCTTTCCTTTAGGTCCAGCCTCTCTCTGGCCTGCTGGAGGGGGGGACCCTGGTGACCATTTCCGGGTCCAACCTGGGCCAGAAGGTTGAAGACATCCTGCACTCTGTGACTGTAGCTGGGGAGCCGTGCGTGGTCATCCCGGAGCAGTACGAAGTCTCCTCTAGGTGCTGTGCACACAGACTTGCTCTGCTGCTGGTTCCTAAAGGCAGCGTGCAGAGAAACTTGAAGCCTGCAGAGGTGCATCAGTTCCCCTGATGTCTGTCTGTCTGTCCGTCCTCCAGGATTGTGTGTCGGACCAAAGGCAGCAGTGGAGAGAAGGAGGGCCCTGTGACTGTGAAGGTCGGTGGAGGAGACCAGCGCAGTTCCACTCAGGTTTTCAGCTACCAGGTACGGAAACTGTGGGACGTCAAATGTCTCAATAAGCAACAAAAAATTAATTTCTCAATAAATTTTTTTAAAGTTTTCAAAACCTCTAAAAACATGTGTCTGCGTTGAAACAAAGCCTGTAATTGTTTACTTGGTCCTTTTTGAGCCTGAAAATACTTTTTACACCAGATGTGATCAACAGACAGTAACATAGCTGTGCGCTGTCGCCATCTGCTGGCAGTTCTTACTCTCACATCCACCGGCTCGGCAGCGTCTGCAGCTTTAGCCTCAGTGAACAGCAATGAGCGATGCTCATGTCTCATCCCCCTGAGCTTCGGATGTTTCACACATTCTCACTTCTTATCTTGGAATGGAGAAGTCATTGAGAATTGCGGGTTCTTACCATGATTGGAGGGATGATTAGACTCATGTGTGCAATGAGTCTACAGAGAAATCATCCCTCCAATAATGGTAAGAACCCGCAATTCTCAAATTTACCAACATATTGACCAGACACAGAAGTGAGATAGAATAAGCCAACAGGCTTATTTGGTTCCTTACCGGCTTGTTTTGTTTGTATGACCACCATTGTGGAAAACGACTGGTGAAGATGGACCAGCTAGTAGAGCTAGGTGCGCGAGAACGCTGGGACCCTTTTTCCACCTGGATCCCCGCTCTTTTTGGTCCTCATTTCCCTCCATTGTTGCCCAAACTTTCCCCCATTTCCTCACAGCCTCGACCGAATCTAGACCCAAAGCTAGTTCCTGATTGGCCCTCTGGCGTTGTGGCGTGGAATAACATAGCGCAGACCGGGCTGCAATATTGAGCATAAATCAAAAATGTCTGCATCATACCTGTGACAAGCTAAAGGCTACACACTGCTGCGGGAGGATAACCAGCCCTTAAGGCATTGATGGCAGCAGCACAGCTGATATTTCTCTCCAGGATGGAGTCACAGCCAAACAGGAACAGACCAGATGAAGCTACTATGAGGAAAAGCAGAGAGAGCAGAACGTTAGAGATTGAACTAACAAATTCTGCAGAGTGGGAGAATAGAGATAGAATGAAGCAGAATGATGAAAAAGGGGTCCCTATGTCCTCCAGCAGTCTAAGCCTATAGCAGCATTATTATTGTATATATTATTGGTTTGGACTTTCTGGAGATCTAAGTTCTTCTGTTGCTCTCTCTGGTCCTCAGGACCCGTTTGTTATGGCCGTCTCACCTGAAAGAGGTCCAAAGGCAGGAGGGACAACCCTGACCATCAGCGGGAGAAAGCTGCTGACAGGTCATCCCTCTGACCTCACCATCACAGTGGGCGGGGTCCCCTGTACAATGTAAGCTGCACACAGACAGTTGTCATGGTTTCCCTGCTTTATGCAGCCATCACTGCTGTTTTTGCACATATTTCATTTGCTATCCTTTAAGAAGCAGCAGCAGAGATGCAGCGCACACTAGAAAACATTGAACAATCTGTAGTCTGGATTACGCTCATCACTAATGAAAGTGTCTTCTTCTCCTCCTTGGTTCTCCCAGAGTGTCCGAGGTGCAGAGCTCCAGCGTTCGGTGTGTCACAGGCAGCATGAGTAAAGCAGGAAGTTACCGCATCACGTTGCATTACGGCGGCACGCTGCGCCACCTCCATACTCAGCTCTTCAGCTACACCAACAACCCCAACATCAGCACTGCCTGGCCAGCCAAGAGCTTCCTGCAGTAAGTCTGGCCCGGTAAACCTGTTACCCTGCTGCTCAACCCCAGACTAAATATGAAACCCCTCCTGTTAGCGGCGGACGGCTGATCCATGTATCTGGTCACAACCTGGATGTTGTGCAGAAGCCACAGATGCTGGTGAATGTCTTCCCACGCGAGTCCGTCACTGGGAGCAGGAGGAAGAGGAGGAGGAGAATGTCAGAGGAAGGGGCGTGGACCCTGAGGAGGCTGAGTGGGGAGCTTCCTGATCCGCTCTGCTGCAGAGAGCCGTTCTGCCCCATCACACAGGTGAGTTCACGGCTGTCTGTGTACGTCTGCCCACAGATTATCACACTGCTCTGACTGCGGATCCTCCTCCTCAGTTCTTACAGCTTTGTGAGGTCAACAACTCCTCCCTGATCTTGTGCCGCTCCCCCATGGTGGACTCCTCTATCTTGGACTCAAAGATCTCCGTACAGTTTCTGCTGGACAGCCTTTGCTTTGAATTCAGAGGCCTGAGCTCTGAGGCCTTCAGCTACGCACCCAACCCAGTCCTGAAGCCTCTGAACCAGCTGGACCCTCTGAAGGCGTACCGCTACAACCCCGGCAGCTTCATCCAGCTAGAGGTCAGGACCTTTAAAAAAATGCCCTACACTGCCTCTAAACCAGCGAGTCCCAAAGCAGGGGGTCGTGACCCCACTTGGGATCCAGTCGACTAGTATGGGGCCCTGAGATTGTGTTTAAATGCCTAAAGAAGAAGAAGCATTTTTTTTATGAAACTAAACAAAGTTATGGCTGTTTATTCTGTCTTTATTAGTATTAGTCGTGGTTAAAGGACGACTAACCCCTAAATCAAATTCTTGATGATGTCTCATGGTGCTGTCTACATTTCGCTATCCAGGGCAATTACAGCACATTTGTTTGGATCCTGCTTTGGTGTCTGTTTGACGCCCTAATGATTTGTGTTTACGATTAGAACTGTCGATAAACTGGTAAAGCCACACCCCCCATACCCTCTGTCTCTAGTGAGGATGCTGGAAATGACGGCATCATAATGAGGACTGATCTCTCCTCCATGTCTGTGTTGCTGTGTGCCGCCGGAATCTGCCCTTAACCCCCATGCTGGTTTCCTGGTCATCTGGGCAGAAGAACAGCTCTAGAGTGAGATGACTATTAATGGGTTAGCATAGTAGTTTGGGTCATGAGAAGAGTAGGAGAATATCTGGTACAGCAGGAAAAGACGCTGTGTCTCAGCGATCTGAAGGAAACTGTGATTCCAACAGTGATTCCAAGGTATTTAAAGTGACACAGTCATCTGGTTATTGACCTTTCAGAGGCCGAGACCTTTCGGAGGCCGAGACCTTCCGGAGGCCGAGACCTTTCGGAGGCCGAGACCTTTCGGAGGCCGAGACCTTTCGGAGGCCGAGACCTTTCGGAGGCAGAGGCCAAGACCTTTAAGACGGCCGAGACCTTTCGGAGGCCGAGACCTTCCGGAGGCCGAGACCTTTCAGAGGCAGAGGCCAGGACCTTTAAGACGGCCGAGACCTTTCAGAGGCCGAGGGCGAGACCTTTCAGAGGCCGAGACCTTTAGAGGCCGAGGCCGAGACCTTCCAGAGGCCAAGGCCGAGACCTTTCGGAGGGCGAGGCCGAGAGCGAGACCGAGACCTTTTTGGAGGCCGAGGCCGAGACCTTTCAGAGGCCGAGACCTTTCAGAGGCCGAGGGCGAGACCTTTCAGAGGGCGAGGCCGAGGGCGAGGCCGAGACCTTTCGGAGGGCGAGGCCGAGGGCGAGGCCGAGACCTTTCGGAGGCCGAGGCCGAGACCTTTCAGAGGCTGAGACCTTTAGAGGCCGAGACCTTTCGGAGGCCGAGGCCGAGACCTTTCAGAGGCCGAGGCCGAGACCTTTCAGAGGCCGAGACCTTTCGGAGGCCGAGACCTTTCGGAGGCCGAGGCCGAGATCTTTAGAGGCCGAGATCTTTAGAGGCCAGGACCTTTAGAGGCCGAGACCTTTCAGAGGCCGAGATCTTTAGAGGCCAAGATCTTTAGAGGCCGAGACCTTTAGAGGCCGAGACCTTTAGAGGCTGAGACCTTTCAGAGGCCGAGACCTTTCAATAGGCCTCGGCCGGGATCTTTCAGAGGCCGAGGGCGAGACATTACAGAGGCCGAGGGCCACCCTTTCAGAGGCCGAGGGCGAGACCTTTCAGAGGCCGAGACCTTTCAGAGGCAGAGGCCGAGACCTTTCAGAGGCCGAGGCCGAGACCTTTCAGAGGCCGAGGGCGAGACCTTTCAGAGGCCGAGGCAGAGACCTTTCCGAGGGCGAGGCCGAGACCTTTCGGAGGCCGAGGGCGAGGCCGAGACCTTTCGGAGGCCGAGGGCGAGATCTTTAGAGGCCGAGATCTTTAGAGGCCGAGATCTTTAGAGGCCGAGACCTTTAGAGGCCGAGACCTTTCAGAGGCCGAGGCCGGGATCTTTCAGAGTCCAAGACCTTTAGAGGCTGAGACCTTTTTTGGGTCTTGGTCTTGTTTGGTACTCCTTGGTCTACAGGCTGCGGCCACACTTAGCACAAAGCACAGGTAAAGGACCCAACATCAGGAGACATGTTGATGGTACGATGATGAAAGTTGAAATTAATTTAACAGTGATTCCAAAGTATTTAAAGTCATCCATACTGCTGTTTATTGATGTATCTGGTAATATCTGCTTTCATTGAAATTGTTGTTGTGTATTTTGTCTTAGATTCCCTTTTCGTATAGTTCATATGTGCTAATGTCTGGGAGAGTAGGCAGGGCTGAGTAGAGTAGCCTGGTGATGGGAGGAGGGGCCAAAGCAGGCATTGGTACCGACTGGGATCTGGTGAGGTCAGGGCCTCATTCTTCACCTCATTAATGGTGATAAAAGGAGGTTTGATGCTTCGAAAACTGCATGAGAAGATTGACTAAAGATAAACTGAAAGGGTTGAATGTTGACGCTGGCAGAGGAGGAGTTTCAGGAAACCAGGAAAAACTGTCTCTGCGTTTCCAGGGCGACAACCTGGACCTGGCCATCACCAAAGAGGAAGTAGTGGTCCTGATAGGGGAGGGGGTGTGTGCTGTGAAGACCCTGACCAAGAACTACCTGTACTGTGAGCCCCCACCTCAGCAGCCCAACTGCAGGAAGTGTGAAGGTTCTGACAACCTGCCAGGATTCACGGTGAGTCCATCCCACTTTGACCCCCGTCCCCCCACATTGCTGTGTGACTAAAGCAGGCTGGTTGTGTGTTCCAGGTCCAAATGGGCCACCTGAACTTCTCTCTTGGCAAGGTTCAGTATGACAGCCTCAGCCCCCCCACTTTCCCACTGGAGGCCCAGATTGGAGTGGGTGTGGGAGCGTCCATCGTGGCTCTTATCGTCCTCATCATCGTGCTCATCTACAGGTCAGTCCACCATGGGTTCTGTTTGCACCGTTATGGAGCTACGCTGGCGCCAGTAAGTTTGTTGCTAAAAAAAGTTTTAAAAAAAACAATCTGAAAGTAGAAAGAAAAGATTCAGAAAAAAAATCTATCAAACATTTTTAAAATGGAAACAAAAATTTGAAATTTAAGACAAAATTTGCAATTTAAAAAAAATGAAGAAAATAGGGACTCAGAAGAAATTAAGTTTTTTTTTTTTTTTAGATTTTTTTTCTGTTTCAAGCCACAGGCCCCTCAAAGTGCGGTGGGACCAGATAAGATGGGGGCAATTATTTCTTCTCTGAGGGGCCAGCAGTTTGGAAATTAAAAAGCAAAAATCTTAAACTTTTTTTTTTTTTTTTTTTTGCTTAAATTTTTTGTCAGTTTAATTTTTTGCTTTTTGTTTTTAATCGTTGCTCTTCATATACATTTTTTATAGTAAAAAAAGCCTTTTCTTTGCCTCCAATTTCTCCATGCAGCGTGAACTGAACAGTCAGCTCTGCCTCCATCTTGATCCAAAATCAAATTCTATTCAGTTTATTTCTATAGCGCCAATTCACAACACGTCATCTCAAGGAACTTTCCAGTTCACCAGATCATCCAGCAAATTGATTCAAAGTTTTCTATCTAAGGAAAACCAGCTGATTGCATCGACTCATTGAGTCTTCAGCAATCCCTCACACTAAGCATGCTTGTAGCGACAGTTGAGAGGAAAAACTCCCTTTAAACAGGAAGAAAAAATGGCGTAACAACACAACAATAGGCCAGTAAGCAACATTATCTGGGTGGGCCCCATATAAGTACAACACGTGATAAAAGTTCAGGTTACGGTGACAGTTCCATAAATCAGCCAAGAAGAAACAATTCTCAGTAGTATATGATCACACGTGGAAAAATGGAACCATTGGTGACAGCACACCACCACATGCTACAGACCTTCCAAGTTGCAAAGAATAATTTCAGGTAGATGCTCATCACCCTACACACACACACATGAACACACACACCCTGCCGTAGACAATCGACCCGTGTTTATGTTGGGAAGTTTTTTCCATTCTTACAGAAGCTCTTCTTTCCTATTTTCTTTACTGGAATCCACTTAAAGGAATAGTACACCCAAAACATGATTAGCCTTCATTTTCTACTCACCCCCATGCTGAACAACACTCTGGAGTGCTTTTTTGATATCTCAAATGCATCTGGAGATCTGGGAGGCTTCTTGCTGTCTGCTGACATTCAAATAATGGAGGTCTATGGCGCCCGAGGCAGAAAGGTCCATAAAAGTCCACAAAAAACGTGTCAATATTCCTCCATACTGCTCGTCCAATGTATTCCAAGTGTCCTGAGTGGGTAGCATCCATAATTTACTCGAAAAGAAGTCATTTAGAATGTTTTTAGAGCATAAACAGTAGTGTATAGGATTTCCTAAAAGCGCGTTCACGAGTCTACGGAAACCGCGTCAGACCAAACCAGATGAAAGTGCGCATTCAGCGTCTGCTCTGCCGATAATGCAAGCGTAGAAGAAGAAATGTGCTGTTTACCTGTGCAAAGAAAGAAACAACGAAAGAAAAATGTCTGAGGACTTCAGTGTTGAGGAAGAGCATGAGTTCTTTGCCGAGCTGAATGCGCACTTTCATCTGGTTTGGTCTGCCGCGGTTTCCGTAGCGTCGTGAACGCGCTTTCAGGAAATCCTATACACTACTGTTTATGCTCTAAAAACATTCTAAATGACTTCGTTTCGAGTAAATTATGGACGCTACCCACTCAGGACACTTGGAATACATTGGACGAGCAGTATGGAGGAATATTGACATGTTTTTTGTGGACTTTTATGGACCTTTCTGCCTCGGGCGCCATAGACCTCCATTATTTGAATGTCAGCAGACAGCAAGAAGCCTCCCAGATCTCCAGATGCATTTGAGATATCAAAAACGTACTCCAGAGTGTTGTTCAGCATGGGGGTGAGTAGAAAATGAAGGCTAATCATGTTTTGGGTGTACTATTCCTTTAAGTACCTCTTCTTGGTATCCATCGTCTCTAACACATTGTACGTAACGGTTATGGTTTTAATCTACGCTCTGGATTACCCATAATTCCAAGTCGTAATGTAAAAAATGTAATACTCAAATACATCGTTCTTTTAAGATCTTTATTGCAATTTGAAACATATTATGTGAGTGTTATTAACATAGTAATTAAAAGTGCCACTGTCTGCTTTGCTATTGGTGTCGTGTTTAAACGGCTCAACATCATGATGAAATCTGCCATATATATAAATACGGTGCGGCCAGTCACTTCAGTATCAGGTGCGTTTAACAGGAATTTTTCGCACCATTACATCTGAAATGAGACGTCCTTGTCTACATTTGCATAGGGGGCCACCAGGTGTCAGTGATGGGGCCCCTAAGCAACTGCAGTCTCTGCTTACCAGTAGTTACGCCATTGGGAAGAAACCTCCAGCAGAACCGGGCTCAGTGTGAGCGGCCATCTATTGAGGCCGACTGGGGTTCAAGGAGACAGAAGCAGACACAGAGATCAGAACCACAATCAGAACCTCTGGTTCCGACGCAGTGAGTTCAGACTAATGGGCTCATTGGGTTGAATCTGTTTTACTCTCAGCGGAATAAAACCAGATATCTGCAAAGTCAGCACAGATCTGTTAGCGTTGGTCTGCATCATGTTCGTATGGCAACAGCAGTGACCATCCAGCTGTTCCAGATTCCATTTTTTGTGACAGCCTTCACTGTGCTGCAGTAAACACGATGCTGTGAGCCTTACCCTGACTGATGCCATCTTACTGGGAGCTAATTATAATCCTTTATAACATCTCTCCAACATCTGGCTTCAGCTAAAGGATCCATTCATGCGGGAATGGCAGCGTTTTGATTCAGCTTCATCAGGTTCTCCGCTGGCAGAACCAGAGGCGTAGCCAGAACATTTTAATAAGGGTGTCCAGGCAATAACCAATGTAGACTGAGGGGCCGAAAGGGAAGGGGTGCCAGAACCTCACGGTTAATCTTCCATGAACTGTGTTCCAAATGGAAGATTAGGCAGCAAAACCTCCATATTTTCCAAATAAAGACAAATTATACTTTCCTACAGCTACTACTCTAGTTCCTACTTTGCTAACAAATAGATGCATATATTTAAACATCCATGCTTTCTAGATAAAAGGTATAGTGGATACAATTCCTTCAGGTTTGAGTTCTGGGGCGAACATCTTTTCCATTGTTATTACTTACCTACTTTTATCAATAATCATTCTGCATTAAATTGATATTTACAAGTACCAATATCTAAATAAATTGATTATTTAATAGGTTTTTATTAAAATAGTTATCTATGTTTCCAATGAAGACTCCTAGATGACTTGCAGAGACATATGATTTTCCCTTAAAACCCAAAATCTAGTTTTGAAAAGACCCTGAATTCTGCAGTTATCATCTTTAATATTAGTTTATTGATGTGCATAAATAACCAGTGTTTTTGTTGTTAAGCTATTGTTGATATATAAAAAATATATGTTTTGTAAATTCCGCTTGCGAATATTACTGTTGCCACAATCTGTACTAGAGGGAAACGTGGTAGGGTGGCCAATGATTTGCTGAAGGTGGCCAATGATTGGCTGAGGGTGGCCAATGGTTGGCAGAGGGTGGCCAATGGTTGGCAGAGGGTGGCCAATGGTTGGCAGAGGGTGGCCAATGGTTGGCTGAGGGTGGCCAATGGTTGGCAGAGGGTGGCCAATGGTTGGCAGAGGGTGGCCAATGGTTGGCAGAGGGTGGCCAATGGTTGGCTGAGGGTGGCCAATGGTTGGCTGAGGGTGGCCAATGGTTGGCAAAGGGTGGCCAATGATTTGCTGAAGGTGGCCAATGGTTGGCTGAGGGTGGCCAATGGTTGGCAAAGGGTGGCCAATGGTTGGCAGAGGGTGGCCAATGGTTGGCAGAGGGTGGCCAATGGTTGGCTGAGGGTGGCCAATGGTTGGCTGAGTGTGGCCAATGGTTGGCTGAGGGTGGCCAATTATTTGCTGAAGGTGGCCAATGATTGGCTGAGGGTGGCGTATGGTTGGCTGAGGGTGGCCAATGGTTGGCTGAGGGTGGCCAATGGTTGGCTGAGGGTGGCAAATGGTTGGCAGAGGGTGGCCAAGGGTTGGCTGAGGGTGGCAAATGGTTGGCAAAGGGTGGCTAATGGTTGGCAAAGGGTGGCCAATGGTTTGCTGACGGTGGCCAATGGTTGGCAGAGGGTGGCCAAGGGTTGGCAGAGGGTGGCCAATGGTTGGCTGAGGGTGGCAAATGGTTGGCAAAGGGTGGCTAATGGTTGGCAAAGGGTGGCCAATGGTTTGCTGACGGTGGCCAATGGTTGGCAGAGGGTGGCCAAGGGTTGGCAGAGGGTGGCCAATGGTTGGCAGAGGGTGGCCAATGGTTGGCAGAGGGTGGCCAATGGTTGGCTGAGGGTGGCCAATGGTTGGCAGAGGGTGGCCAATGGTTGGCAGAGGGTGGCCAATGGTTGGCAGAGGGTGGCCAATGGTTGGCAGAGGGTGGCCAATGGTTGGCTGAGGGTGGCCAATGGTTGGCAAAGGGTGGCCAATGGTTTGCTGACGGTGGCCAATGGTTGGCAGAGGGTCGCCAAGGGTTGGCTGAGGGTGGCCAATGGTTGGCTGAGGGTGGCCAATGGTTGGCTGAGTGTGGCCAAGGGTTGGCAGAGGGCGGCCAATGATTTGCTGAAGGTGGCCAATGATTGGCTGAGGGTGGCCAATGGTTGGCTGAGGGTGGCCAATGGTTGGCTGAGTGTGGCCAATGGTCTGCAGAGGGTGGCCAATGGTTGGCTGAGGGTGGCCAATGGTTGGCTGAGGGTGGCCAATGGTTGGCTGAGGGTGGCCAATGGTTGGCTGAGGGTGGCCAATGGTTTGCAGAGGGTGGCCAATGGTTGGCAGAGGGTGGCCAATGGTTGGCAGAGGGTGGCCAATGGTTGGCAGAGGGTGGCCAATGGTTGGCTGAGGGTGGCCAATGGTTGGCAAAGGGTGGCCAATGGTTGGCAAAGGGTGGCCAATGGTTTGCTGACGGTGGCCAATGGTTGGCAGAGGGTCGCCAATGGTTGGCAGAGGGTGGCCAATGGTTGGCTGAGGGTGGCCAATGGTTGGCTGAGTGTGGCCAAGGGTTGGCAGAGGGGGGCCAATGATTTGCTGAAGGTGGCCAATGGTTGGCAGAGGGTGGCCAATGGTTGGCTGAGGGTGGCCAATGGTTGGCAGAGGGTGACCAAGGGTTGGCTGAGGGTGGCCAATGGTTGGCTGAGGGTGGCCAATGGTTGGCTGAGGGTGGCCAATGGTTGGCAGAGGGTGGCCGATGGTTGGCAGAGGGTGGCCAATGGTTGGCTGAGGGTGGCCAATGGTTGGCAAAGGGTGGCTAATGGTTGGCAAAGGGTGGCCAATGGTTTGCTGACGGTGGCCAATGGTTGGCAGAGGGTGGCCAAGGGTTGGCAGAGGGTGGCCAATGGTTGGCAGAGGGTGGCCAATGGTTGGCAGAGGGTGGCCAATGGTTGGCTGAGGGTGGCCAATGGTTGGCAGAGGGTGGCCAATGGTTGGCAGAGGGTGGCCAATGGTTGGCAGAGGGTGGCCAATGGTTGGCTGAGGGTGGCCAATGGTTGGCAGAGGGTGGCCAATGGTTGGCAGAGGGTGGCCAATGGTTGGCAGAGGGTGGCCAATGATTGGCTGAGGGTGGTCAAGGGTTGGCTGAGGGTGGCCAAGGGTTGGCTGAGGGTGGCCAATGATTTGCTGAAGGTGGCCGATGGTTGGCTGAGGGTGGCCGATGGTTGGCAGAGGGTGGCCGATGGTTGGCAGAGGGTGGCCAATGGTTGGCTGAGGGTGGCCAATGGTTGGCTGAGGGTGGCCAATGGTTGGCAGAGGGTGGCCAATGGTTGGCAGAGGGTGGCCAATGGTTGGCAGAGGGTGGCCAATGGTTGGCAGAGGGTGGCCAATGGTTGGCAGAGGGTGGCCAATGGTTGGCAGAGGGTGGCCATTGGTTGGCAGAGGGTGGCCAATGGTTGGCTGAGGGTGGTCAAGGGTTGGCTGAGGGTGGCCAAGGGTTGGCTGAGGGTGGCCAATGGTTGGCTGAGGGTGGCCAATGGTTGGCCCACGGGTGGCCAAGGGTTGGCTGAGGGTGGCCAGTGATCTGCTAAAGCTACAGGCATGGCATTGTGTCTTTTCAGGGTATTGATAGTTTGGACCCCTGTCTGGACAGAGAGCTTTATTTTGAAGGCAGCTCTGAAGGTTAATGCTGTGATCTGATCCAGTGCAAAGCTTTTCCAGACCTCAGTCCAATCATCCATCATCAGAAACGTCCTGCATAATCCCCCTGCTTTGCTCTGTTTGCTTTTCACCAGGAGGAAGAGTAAGCAGGCTCTTAGGGATTATAAGAAGGTCCAGATCCAGCTGGAGAACCTGGAGACCAGCGTGAGGGACCGATGCAAAAAGGAGTTTACAGGTAAGAGTTGGCAGCCAGAGATCAGCAAAGAAACACAGGACTCATCCAGTGAAGATGCATTTTATGTCTCTTATCCTTTAGGTTCTTTCTTCTCTGTTGGGTTTAACTCAGCTTTGTTTAGCAGCTTCAATTATGACATAAAAAATGTACAGTTTTGACCAAAGTGGGTCAGAAAAAGGCCGACTGGTGACTGAGCCCACCTGTCTCCCCCACCCAGATCTGATGACGGAGATGATGGACATGTCCAGCGACCTGGTGGGCTCGGGGATTCCCTTCCTCGACTACCGGATGTATGCGGAACGCATTTTTTTCCCCGGCCACCGCGAGTCTCCTCTGAGGCGCGGTCTGGACATGCAGGATTGTCGGCGGCAGACGGTGGAGCAGGGCCTGGTCCAGCTGTCCAACCTGCTGAACAGTAAACTCTTCCTCACAAAGGTATCCATCATCACATCAACATGGCGTATGTGAATTTTGCGCGATGTATATGAACTGAAAAGAACGCCGCCACTGAGCGTTTGGTGTTTCCTCCTCAGTTCATCCATACTTTGGAGAGCCAGCGGACGTTCTCTCCCAGAGACCGAGCCTACGTGGCGTCCCTGCTGACGGTGGCTCTTCACGGCAAGCTGGAGTATTTCACAGACATCCTCAAGACTCTGCTGAATGATCTGGTGGAACAGTACGTGGCCAAGAATCCCAAACTCATGCTGCGAAGGTAAGAAGAGTAGTGGGATGAGAATGGCGTTACAGATCCTGAGCTTTGAAACGCTTCTGAAACGGTAGCTGTGTTTGTCTGCAGGACGGAAAGTGTGGTGGAGAAACTGCTGACCAACTGGATGTCCATTTGTCTTTACACCTTCCTCAGGGTCAGTGAGTGCATGGAGAGCATTTCTCCTATCAATAGCTGCTCCAGCTGGTTTCACCCTGACTGAATATTATTTAGACCAAAACATGAACTCTACATAGAGCTCCTTCTATTAGAAAACCTCCTGAATCCTAAAGCCTGATGTGAAGATTGGGCCTTTTATAAGAAAAATAACATTTCTAATACAGGCTTGCACAGGCGTAACTTTCTGAAGGACTAATGGAGGCAGTCCCACCAATAATTTCAGATTGTTTCCCCCTTTCCACTCATTTACTTTAGCCAAAGGTAACAGAAGATGGATGCAGTTATCTGTTGGTTAAAAATGCCACAGAAAAATCTGTTCATTAGACATAGTAACATCTTCCGGCTGTGATGTCAGCAGTGACATCACAGCCGGAAGATGACCTAGCGCCATTCTCCCTGCTTTACAAGCAAAATCAATGGGAATGGGAATTATTGAAGATTTCCAGAGGACTTGGCCATGGAAATTTACCAGGCTATAGTGAAACTGACAATGCCCACGTGGATGGCAGGCCCCGCTTCCCCGACTCGTACATCTCTTCCCCCGGCAGTTCTGTTCCGCTCTTGTTTTGTTTACATCCATCCGTAGCACTCCGCAGCTTCTTAAACGGTCAAAAATGTCTGGATTTAAAACATTTTGAGACCGTAGCTCGTGCAGGCGTTGGCGATCATAGATGCCGGTTTGATGTCTGTATCGTATTTAGCTGCATATTATGTGAACTTAACGAAATTGTCGAGAGGAGCCGTTCTTGTCCTCTGCTTTGGAGCGCCACCATGGCAACAACCATGTATGAACATGGCCATGTTCTGTAGAGAGAAGTGAGTTTAAAGAGGTATAAAGGGTTCATGTTCTTCTAATGATGCTGTGAGACATAAATAGATTATAGAGGCATTTAAGATCTAACGTGTCATTTCAAGGTTTCGTCTGGGTTTGTATTCAGAGAAAGAGTGGAGGCCCTAAATGTCCCCGGCTGTCCTTGTCTGGGCCCTTCAGTCTCTCCTCCACAGTGGGCGTGGCCAATACTGATCCCTGTGTGTGTGCTGTGTCTCTGTGTGTGTAGGACTCTGCCGGCGAGTCTCTCTTCATGCTCTTCAAGGCCATAAAACACCAGGTAGATAAAGGGCCAGTGGATGCTGTCACACGCAAGGCCAAGTACACGCTGAATGATAACCGTCTGCTGCGAGAGGACGTGGAGTACAAGACGCTGGTGAGAACAGAGCACCCTCTAATCCAAACAAGAGGAAGGTTCCCATGACCTTCAGAGGGTTTTTACTCTCCTCCTTCTCCTCCGCTCCGTCTGCAGACGCTGAATGTGCTGGTGCAGGGTGGAGGGGTGAACGAGAGCCAGCCCCTGCCCTGCAAAGTGCTGGACTGTGACACCATCACGCAGGTGAAGGAGAAGCTGCTGGATCAGGTGTTCAAAAGCACCTCCTTCTCTCATCGGCCCCACGCTGACTCCCTGGACCTGGGTGAGAACCGCAGCCTCTCTCTGAAGGAGTTCCATCTCAGGCTCACGCGCTTTATCCTAAATGTAGAGCTGCAGCGCCCCCTACAGCAAATCCTTTAATAGCAGCTGAGCGCCACCTGTTTCCATACAGATCCTCCATAGTAATAATAATCAAATTGTTTTATTGAGTTTCACATCAGAAATCCCATTAAAAATATACAAAACAAAATGGTAGGATTCAAAATATATATACGCCACAAGAACTGGTTTAAAATACAGACATTTTAAATAGACCAGAGGTGTTCAAATGTGTAAAATATCTTTTTTAATCAGATATTATTTCAGCTGTTATATATTGTTTATGACACACGTCCTACTAACTGTATGTTAGAACAATAAATGAAGGAGTGATTCGAGCTCTAATCATGGTCAAACAGTTAATTCTGCACATTAATGGAATAAATTCACCACAACTTCTGTTCAAAATAAAAGAGTTTATCAAGAAAAGTCATTCAGCTCCAAGTTAAACATGTTTCAATTTAAAACTATTAACTAAAACTATTAAAACTTAACTAAACTAAACTACCATGTACAAAGAGGAAGGGGAGCATGTTTTAAAACCATCATTTTTTGCATTTACTTAATCATATTTAGTTACTTTAACACAATTGCTTTCATGTTAGCAGGGTAGGACATAAAACAATTTGAGTTTGAAACCAAAGTTTATCCGGAAGAATTTGGGATATGATCAAATTAGCTTTTCACAAATTTTAAAGAAATTGGAATGTTTTCAGACCAATTCACGATGCAAATCCATGAGGTGAATAAAACATTATATGGCCAAATAATGTTTTATTGAATTATTTGCTTAATTAAGAACCAGTAACCATTTTTTTTACCCTCTTTGAAATAGCTAGCAGCGAATAGACATCAGGATTCCACTAAATGACTCTTGGTAAAACTTGCTAATGGAAATGTAAGCATCTGAGGAACACACGAACACTAATGTTATATCAGTGTTTAAACCCTTAGTGAATAAAGCTCCAGCAACAGCTTAACACGTGTTCCTATAGCGTAGCATGCAGTCCATCCTGTTAGCTTTGTCTTTACTCATCATTAAACACATGAAATGATCAACATCATCAAAAGACAAATTGTTTGTTCTGTCCCTAATTATGGCAGACCAGGAACAGACCAAATGAAGCTACTATGAGAAAAAACAGAGGAAAAGGGGTCCCTATGTCCTCCAGCAGTCTAAGCCTATAGCAGCAGAACTATAGAGATAGATCAGGATAACCTGAGCCACTCTAACTAGAAGCTTTATCAAAAAGGAAAGTTTTAAGCCTAGCCTTAAAAGTAGACAGGGTGTCTGCCTCACGGACTAAAACTGGTAGTTGGTTCCACAGGAGAGGAGCCTGAGAACTAAAAGATCTGCCTCCCATTCTACTTTTAGAAATTCTAGGAACCACTAGTAAACCTGCAGATTGAGAGCGAAGTGCTCTGTTAGGCCTTTGAGGCTGGAGCAGGACCTGAACATGTGGCGTGTGTTGGCTAGCAGCTGTTTGCGTCTATGGCACGTTGGATCAGCTCCCTGTTAAAGTCCCTCTGTTTACCACCTTAAACTGTGTTCATCCATGTCTAACACACACAGATGTCCAGCTCTAATTCTTCCTCCCATTTCGTTTTAATTAGTCAAGAGATGGGGAAGGGTTTGGGTTAAAGCATAGAAGGTGTCCCTTTAATAGTCGGGTTCATCTAACCATGGGAGCTGGCTCGGTGCTCGTCTGCCTGGCTGTGTGTTTCCTGGACGGGGCCGCCTTTTACAGCTGCTTTTTGTATCTATGCTTCTTTTTCTATGTCTGCTTCTGTCTCCTTGAACCCCAGTGGGCCTCAGCAGATGGCCGCTCACACTGAGCCTGGTTCTGCTGGAGGTTTCTTCCTGTTCAAAGGGAGTTTTTCCTCTCCACTGTCACTACAAGCATGCTTAGTGTGAGGGATTGCTGAAGAGTCAATGAGTCGATGCAATCAGCTGGTTTTCCTTAGATAGAAAACTTTGAATCAATCTGACTGGATGATCTGGTGAACTGGAAAGTGACCTGAGATGACATGATGTGAATTGGAGCTATAGAAATAAACTGAATAGAATTGACCTATATGGAACCTCCATGCGACCCCATCCAGAGACCAGCTGCTGCTCTGATGTTGCCCCCTGCAGCTGAGCAGAGCACATAACAGCAGACTGTTAACTGAAAGCTCCCCCCAGCAGCCAGCAGATAAGCTGCCTGGAAGTTACAGATCTAGCGCCCCTAGTGGCTGAAGGTTTAGCAGATCATTTTGGGTCAGTGGCTGTAGGCAGAGCTTCATCTCAGAGGGAATTTACTGAAGAGTTCATTTAATAGGATTTATCTGTCTTGGGTAATTGTGAATTCTACACTATTAACCTCTGGGAGCTTTAAAAACGAGATTAGTAACGTAACAAAACTGGATTCTTTTATCAGGACCAAAAAAACAAACCCTTTGTAGTTTAAATTTATTTAATGAAAAATTTAAAATAGAAAAATTATAAAAACTATCTAAATTATATTTTAATTTCATACTAAAGCAAATTCTTTCCCTGCAGAAAACAATGTAAACAGACCAGGAGTGATTAGAGAGGCTCATAGCGAAGTCTGCCCCCCTCTGGAGACATGGGGAACTGACAGCAGCATGGAAGCAGCTGCCCAGTGTTTACTGTGGTGGACCAAGAACTCATCAGCAGTACTTATGCAAAAGTATTGATACTCACAGTCAAATCTTACCTATCTACAAGTATAAGTTACTCACTCAAACATCGACTCAAGTTAAAGTATTAAAGTACTTACTTTTGAAAATACTTCAGTATTCAAAAGTACAAAATAATTTTTCTAATATCAGAACATTTCTAAATAATTTTTTAGAGTAGTTTTAAAGAACCTGTAACTTTCAAAAACCACCTGATGTATTGATGCATAGAACTGCCTGCTATAGATTCTACACCACCTGGAAATAACTTCAGCATAGAAATGCCACAAAAAAACAATAAGGACATTTATTATAATTATTATTTCTTATTTAAAAATGAAATAAAAAAGAAATGAGGAGAGTCTTGATTCTCCTCTCTCTTTCGCTATAGAATAGAGGTTAAAGGTTGAATCTATTAGAAACTAGAACTACTGAACAACTTGGCCTCATGGCAACAACTAACGCCAGGAATAGTACACCCAAAACATGATTAGCCTTCATTTTCTACTCACCCCCATGCTGAACAACACTCTGGAGTACTTTTTTGATATCTCAAATGCATCTGGAGATCTGGGAGGCTTCTTGCTGTCTGCTGACATTCAAATAATGGAGGTCTATGGCGCCCGAGGCAGAAAGGTCCATAAAAGTCCACAAAAAACCTGTCAATATTCCTCCATACTGCTCGTCCAATGTATTCCAAGTGTCCTGAGTGGGTAGCGTCCATAATTTACTCGAAACGAAGTCATTTAGAATGTTTTTAGAGCATAAACAGTAGTGTATAGGATTTCCTGAAAGCGCGTTCACGAGTCTACGGAAGCCGGCAGACCAAACCAGATGAAAGTGCGCATTCAGCGTCTGCTCTGCCGATAATGCAAGCGTAGAAGAAGAAATGTGCTGTTTACCTGTGCAAAGAAAGAAACAACGAACGAAAAATGTCTGAGGACTTCAGTGTTGAGGAAGAGCATGAGTTCTTTGCCGAGCTGAATGCGCACTTTCATCTGGTTTGGTCTGCCGCGGTTTCCGTAGACTCGTGAACGCGCTTTCAGGAAATCCTATACACTACTGTTTATGCTCTAAAAACATTCTAAATGACTTCGTTTCGAGTAAATTCTGGACGCTACCCACTCAGGACACTTGGAATACATTGGACGAGCAGTATGGAGGAATATTGACACGTTTTTTGTGGACTTTTATGGACCTTTCTGCCTCGGGCGCCATAGACCTCCATTATTTGAATGTCAGCAGACAGCAAGAAGCCTCCCAGATCTCCAGATGCATTTGAGATATCAAAAAAGTACTCCAGAGTGTTGTTCAGCATGGGGGTGAGTAGAAAATGAAGGCTAATCATGTTTTGGGTGTACTATTCCTTTAATAAGATGATAAACTACTAATAATATCTGCTCTGAGTTTCTCTCATCTGCGGAACGTCATTAAATCTGTATATCAGTGGCGTCCAGATTCAGTCCTAAGGGCTGCTGTCCGCCATGATGGATGAAAAACAGCCAGAGAGGATTAAAAAGCTGAGCTGAACCATGATTACTGTGGTGGATCAGACTCCAGTTCAGCCCCTTTCATCGACTTCTCCTTTAAATGTCAGACGGCTGATAGAGGGAAAGAAAATCTCAATCTGACCTTTTTAATGTCTGCATTACTCCTTTAAACACCCTGATATAGGTTGGACCTTTATGGGGGGGGTTTGGGTCAGAGGTCAAATGTGGGCTACAGGCAGAGTTCCTTCACCATCCAGGAGGAAGCAGCTGATGTTGTTCGCCATGTTTCTGTTGCTCCCGCTCAGAGTGGAGGTCTGGTGTCGCCGGCCATCTCATCCTGTCAGACGAGGACCTGACGTCTGTGGTCCAGGGCAGCTGGAAGCGCCTCAACACGCTGCAGCACTACAAGGTGACGCCCGCCGGCCTGGCGCTCCCTCTGCAGCCTGGACACCACTGATCTGACCGCCGTTTTGTCGTTTCAGGTCCCCGACGGTGCATCGGTGGCGCTGGTGCCGCGACACAGCAAGAACATTCACCATGACAACCATGATTACATCGCTGGGGAGAGTGAGTTCCTCCGTCCACTGGCTGCTCTGGAGGCGGAGCGGCAGCAAAGCGTCGCTAATCTTTGGGTCACCCTCGTTCAACAGAGACTCCCATGCTGGAGGACGCAGACGAAGGAGGCGTGAAGCTCTGGCATCTGGTGAAGGCCAGCGAGGAGCCGGAGCTTCCCAAACACCGCAGAGGCAGCCTGAGGGAGAGGGAGCGAGCCAAGGCCATCCCAGAGATCTACCTCACCCGCCTGCTCTCTATGAAGGTAGGCGTCCCCCATGAGCTGAACCAGGGACAGCGCCCCCTGCTGGACTCACACTTGCTCCCTCCTCCTGTCACCCAGGGGACGCTGCAGAAGTTTGTGGACGATCTTTTCACAGTGATCCTCAGCACCAGCCGCCCCGTCCCCCTGGCTGTCAAATATTTCTTCGACCTGCTGGACGACCAGGCGGGACATCACAGCATCAGCGACCCGGAGACCATCCACATCTGGAAGACCAACAGGTACGCTGAGAGGAAGGCCGTCGCTTCAAGGTTCAGTCATTAAAGACCAGAATTCATCAATCTGGTTAAAAATACCTTCCCTAGTCACATGCAGAGGATCTAGGAGACCAGGGGCTCAGCCCTGAGTGTGAGGATGAGAGTGTAGACTGTTTGCTAAATCCCATTCTAATGTAAAATATCACAGATTACGAGATTAAAGAAATTCCTAGTATACTACATGCTATCACACATAAAAATTCCCCCTCCATAACATGGGAAGAATTTCATTTACCTGCAAGTTTTTAACTGTGTTTATTTCTCTCTTCACTGCAAAAACGATCTAGAAATAAGTAAACATTTCTTAAATTAAGTGTATTCATCCTTAATTTGAGCAGGTAAAGGAGATAGTTTGCCAATGGAATGAGTAATTTTACTCTTAAAATAAGATAATTAGATAATATGCACTTGAAATAAGAAAATTCAGTTGTGTTTTCTTATTTTAAGTGTAAATTGTCTTGTTCCATTGACAAAATGTCTCTTTTAGCTCCTCAATTCAAGAACAAATTCACTTATTTTAAGAAAAAAAAGACTTATCTAGATTTAGATTTTTTGCCGTGCAACAACAAAATCTGTGGATTTTGTGACATTTGATCGTTATTTGCCAAAGTTATGAGAGGGGAATCATATATTTCAGCCACCTGATATAATTATTGGATTATTTCAAGCAGCTGAAATCTCCATTCTCTCCTCTCCTCCTCCCATATCTTTGGGAAATAAAGAGCAACTGTTTCCAAATTTTGAAAAATAGTTTGTGTGATGTCATGCTGTATACTAAAAATGTCCTTAATCCAGTAATGTCGTTTTTTACATTAGAATGGGATTTACCAGAAAGTTGCATCCTGCTATCAGCCAGTTTCCATCCTCTTAAAGGAATAGTACACCCAAAACATGATTAGCCTTCATTTTCTACTCACCCCCATGCTGAACAACACTCTGGAGTACTTTTTTGATACCTCAAATGCATCTGGAGATCTGGGAGGCTTCTTGCTGTCTGCTGACATTCAAATAATGGAGGTCTATGGCGCCCGAGGCAGAAAGGTCCATAAAAGTCCACAAAAAACGTGTCAATATTCCTCCATACTGCTCTTCCAATGTATTCCAAGTGTCCTGAGTGGGTAGCGTCCATAATTTACTCGAAACGAAGTCATTTAGAATGTTTTTAGAGCATAAAGAGTAGTGTATAGGATTTCCTGAAAGCGCGTTCACGAGTCTACGGAAACCGCGGCAGACCAAACCAGATGAAAGTGCGCATTCAGCTCGGCAAAGAACTCATGCTCTTCCTCAACACTGAAGTCCTCAGACATTTTTCTTTCGTTGTTTCTTTCTTTGCACAGGTAAACAGCACATTTCTTCTTCTACGCTTGCATTATCGGCAGAGCAGACGCTGAATGCGCACTTTCATCTGGTTTGGTCTGCCGCGGTTTCCGTAGACTCGTGAACGCGCTTTCAGGAAATCCTATACACTACTGTTTATGCTCTAAAAACATTCTAAATGACTTCGTTTCGAGTAAATTCTGGACGCTACCCACTCAGGACACTTGGAATACATTGGACGAGCAGTATGGAGGAATATTGACACGTTTTTTGTGGACTTTTATGGACCTTTCTGCCTCGGGCGCCATAGACCTCCATTATTTGAATGTCAGCAGACAGCAAGAAGCCTCCCAGATCTCCAGATGCATTTGAGATATCAAAAAAGTACTCCAGAGTGTTGTTCAGCATGGGGGTGAGTAGAAAATGAAGGCTAATCATGTTTTGGGTGTACTATTCCTTTAAATCACCAATGAAAAATGATAAATACTCACTACGAGTTGCCAGCATACCTGTAGTCAATATGCACCCTCAAGACATCAGATTTGCTTTTATCACTTTAGTTTCGTACGAAAGTAGATTTAAATCTACCTCGATGGGCGTGTATCCCTTTAGTCGTGTAAAAAAAAAACATTTTTAGATCAGATTGCAATATGCTTCAAAAAACACCAAAAAGTTAGGAATTAAATAGGTTTTTTGTACATGACTAAAGGGAAACACACCAGTTAATGTAGTTTAAAGTTTATTTTTCCTACAAAACTAAAGTGATAAACTAAAGGGATACATGGGTATTGACTATAGGTATGCTGGTCTTACCGGGTATGTGGGGGTCTGAGCGGCTCCCACAGAGAAATAATCTTTGAAGGCAGGATGGTAATCTGGATGAACTGACTGCACAGACCATGTTTTCAGGAGGACTTTCTCACTTCAACATAGATTCTAACTACTTTCTACCCGCTGATCACAGCTAATAGCTGCCATTGTTCCAGGCAGAGAAAGGATAGGGTAGCTCCGCCCACCGCGCATCAGACCCACTTTTCCACCATGCAGCAAAAGCAGCAAAGATGCTTCAGCCGCGCGTCAGAACTAAACTAGTACAAGCATCAAAAATGAAGCAGCACGCGACGTTTTTGTTGCTTCTGCTGCTTGAGGTCTGAACGTAGAATTCCGCTCTGAAGAAGAGCAGCTGGGAGGTCAAAGGTCTGCAACCTGTGGGGGAGCGATTACGGTGATGCTAGCCATGCTAACCGCTGAGATGCTACGCTGACAAGCTGAAATGTTGAGGGTCTGAAACGTTGCAGTCGGACCTCGATCCCGATGAGGAAGCGTCTCTAAACGTCCTGCTGTCTCTCTGCAGCCTCCCACTGCGTTTCTGGATCAACATCATTAAGAACCCTCAGTTCATCTTCGACGTTCAGGTGTCGGACCACGTGGACGCCGTGCTCTCCGTCATCGCTCAGACCTTCATGGACTCCTGCACCATCGCTGACCATAAGCTCGGGCGGGTGAGCAGCCGTCCTCTCCTCTGATTGGATGAGGGGTCTTTTCCTTAAACTTGTTTCTTTCTCTCCCTGTTGGACAGGATTCTCCCATCAACAAGCTGCTGTACGCCAGAGACATCCCCCGCTACAAACAGATGGTGGAAAGGTCTGCTTTCAGCTGCTTCCTTTGGTTAAACCGGCCCCATGTTTATTTCTATGTTTAAATGAACTTAAACCTTCTTCCTAGTCTAGTTTAGATTTCTAGAACATTCTGTGAAAAATGGAAGTTATTAATCGTGCGTCCTGCAGGTACTATGCTGACATCAGGCAGACGATATCAGCGAGTGACCAGGAGATGAACTCGGCCCTGGCTGAGCTGTCCAGGGTGAGAGCACCCACATTACCAATTCACAGGACTTGGAGTGGGGTGGGGGGCGCTGACTTACTGAGTGCTTTGTGTTTCAGAACTACTCTGGAGAGCTCAACTACCTTGTGGCACTGCATGAGCTCTACAAGTACATCAACAAGTACTACGACCAGGTACGTTCAGGCCTGCTGCTGTGAGGCTTTCTATGCCATGCTTTCTTCCTTCCACTAAACCTTCCATTAACATCAGTAAAGCCCAGGTCACACCTCCATGATTTAGACCTGCATATGCCAGACGTATGAAAAAAATTGCCAAAAACTCTGGCATACGTTGGATAAGTTCTGGGTACAGTTTGTATAAGTTATGAGCATGCTTGGTTAATATTGCGATCAAAAAAATATTTTTCTGCAGGCTGGGCACCTCTGGGCGCATTGCTGCCCCCCTCAGGACACTGTGCATCATTTCATGAGCATTACGCTGCTGTGCGTTATGCAGCAGTTAGGCTGACGTTGGACAGAAGTTCAGGACTCGTTATAAATACTCTATGCATACGCCCAGAATAGAAAAATCCATAGAAAGTTCAACGTATGCCAGCAGTTTAAAGGTATACTATGCAACCGGTGTTGATTTTCCAGCGAGGCTCCCCCCAGAGGGCCAAAGTAAAAGTGCACTGTCGTAAATATGCTCAGCTGTTCTCCTGGTGTCTCCATCAAGCCAGGCGCGGTTGTTTTGAGCTTAGCAAACAGGCGAACGCAACGAATGACTAACACAGTGAAAGTATGAACATGCACACAGAGAGAGAGAAACCATTCCAATGTTACTTACAATCGCATCAGCAGAAATGCGAGGTCCGCGTCAGCCTTGCAGCCTTCTTTTTATTTTAGCTCTCGCCATTCGGAAAAAGCTTGCCCGATGTTCACCCGTGTACGACTCCTCTCTCTGTCCGCAGCCCTTTTCCTCTTTCTTGCCTGCTCCGACATGGGCTTTCGCCGTTTTCACGCTGGTTCCGCCATGATAACTGCACAAAGATCGCCACTGCGCTAGTAACGAGCATGCTTTTAACTGGGGGCGTGTAGCAGTTCTCGCCGTAAAGCAAGACCGACTCTCGCGAGACTTCTGAGCCTGTGGGTGCGGGCCGAGGGCTCCTGCAATTGCAAGTGCGGTATTTCCCCCACAGACCACCAGGGCGACCGAGAAAACCTTTGTTCGACCTGAAATTACTCATTTAATCATCCAAAACGTTATGGAACACATTAATTAACTGAGAAATGTTGCATAGTGTGCCTTTAAGAGGTTCTGGTACGTCAGGCAGACGCTGGAGAAATCAACAAGGTGTGACAGGGACCTAATGTCCAGCAGATCCACAACAGATGGCTTTTCAGTGTCGAGGTTACAGCTGAGGTCATTGACGTATTTCTGTGTTTAAACAACCAGATGGTTATTTTAAAACTACATAATATAGTCAAACAACTTTTTCTATGATGTAAAAACGTCTCTCTTCATGGTGGGACTCTTCCATCGGATCATTCATTAATCCCTCCTGGATCTTGCTCCATCGTTCTGGTCCTGCCGTGAACCTTGGTCCATCGCTTCGTTCTGAGCTTGCCTTGTTTTTATGGTGGATTCCTTCTGAACTACATGTTTGTGTTTTTATTTTTCCAGTATTGTTGTTTTTCGGACCCACTGATTAGTTCTGTCCTCCTCTCGGCAGATCATCACGGCTCTGGAGGAGGACACCACAGCCCAGAAGATGCAGCTGGGATACCGCCTGCAGCAAATCGCAGCTGCTGTGGAAAACAAAGTGACCGACTTGTGACGGAAGAGACGCCCCCCCTCCACACTGATGGCGGTGATGTTCCCCCTGCGCAGGACCATGACGACAGAAGGAACGTGGACGGGCGGATCCGGACTTCTCTGCTCTCACTGGAACATCATGAAGAACACTTGGGGTTTTATCTCCCCCTCTGCTGCCTTAGAAACGAGAACCTGAGCCCATCTGTTGCTACTTCCTGTTCTGCAGTTTAAAGGAACAGCGTCTCTTAGTCGCGTGGGGGGCGGGCATACTTTGCTGTAAAGTGTCTCATTTCTAATTTTTATGGTACGAAGTGCTGGAAATAACCCATTGATCTTAGAACAGCTTGTGCTTTTATTCTGAAACCCTGAAAACTTAAGTTGTAGATTAATTTTGTTGGTGTAAAGTCTCAGAGAGGCAGGAGTAGAAGAAGAAGCCACCGCTCTACCTCAGCCCGCCATGCTGCATCAGTGATGCCTTTCAGATGCTTCCCTCCAACACCCCGGCCCATCAGAACCAGCTGGAATCACCCCTTCTGGGTCCGTATCTATCATCCGCTTTCAACGGCGCCTGGTCTAAGGGCTGACATGGCAGCTGCTGTTCATCACCCGATTTATTGGAAAAGATGTTCATTCCGTCACCAGCGGCTCACAGGAAGAGGAACGGATGGACGAGATGGGAGCCCGGAGGTCTGTAGTACCATTCCCCAGTGCTGCAGCGTCAGACAGAGGGAAGCTCGGCGGTACTGACGGTCCGGATGGAGAACTGTTAACGTCTGGCGCCGTAGAGTCGGCTCTGTTTAATGTTTCACTTGTTGTACAGACTGATTTGAAATGTTACCATAGTGATTTTAACTTGTTTATTAAAACAAAATGCTCACAGATGTATAAAGGTATTCCTGTTTCCTGTAAGTGCTGTAAAACTTCTTCCCACACATCATCCATTAACACAAAAGCATGGTGAGCTTCTGCAGCTGATCCTGGAAGCTGAATTCCTCCATTATCCACATCAAGACAAAGGTCCAGATAGATGGCCGGACGCCAGACTTCCCTCCCTGCTCTGTCGTCTAAATGTTGTTTCGCTCCAGGAAGGTGACGCGCGTTTGCTTTAAAACTGCCTGTAAACAAGATGCAACAACTCTGCTTTAGAAGGCCACTGGAAGATGACGCACTTTTCCCAAAGGTGTTTCTATAAGAAAGAAATGAGAGTGGAGACATAAAGTCTAGATGCCCTCTACCTTCTCACTTAGCTTCTCCATCCACCAGGCAAAAGTTTGACGGAGGACGTAATGAACCGAGCCAGACCTCTTCCTGCAGCCTTGGACTGTCTGAGGAAACATACACATATGCAGGTGAAGATTCTCAGTCATCCAGGTCATAGTCATACCAAACAAATTAAAAACAATCCACCGGACTTTGTTTCCAACTTTGAAGACGTTTCTCTTCCCATCCAGGAAGATTTTTCAATTCAAAATGTCAGAAATAGCAACTCTATCGCTGCATCGTAGGGGTGGACCCGTTCATCCATTTCAATTAGCATGTTTTCTAAACAAAAACAAGGCTTTGTTGAGTGTGACGTCCCCTTGCTGACTCAAGGGGGTGTAAGGGATGGATATAAATTTAGACAGTGAATGAAGGAGTCAAAAGGGCATTTTAAGTTTTATTCTGTCATTTCTTTTGAATAACTTATGGAAAAGGCTTCAGGGAGGGCCCAGTCCAAAATAACAAGCAAAACAACCCTAAAGAAAAAGAAAAGTGGACTTACAAAATAACCTACCTAACCAACACAAACAAGAGAATACGAAAGTTACGACTGTAACCGGTTCTATGAATCCTGGATGACCGCCAGAGGCGGTGCTTAAAGCACGAATGATCACTCTTGCGCATGCACAGGTTGAGAATCTTATACCAACATAGTCATGTGTGACCCCCCGGTGACACCGGTGAGCCTATATAATAACATGAAAACGACAGCTCAGTCCCTTAATCTTCTCGCGAAAACACGATGATTCCAAGGGGCTGAGTGCTCTGGCGGTCATCCGGGATTCATAGGACCGTAGTTACAGTCGTAACTTTCGTTCTATTTCATCCCTACGACTGCCAGAGGCGGTGCTTAAAGCACGGATGACGATTACCAAAAGAGTCCTGAGGACTCGCATACAGAAAAAAACAACCCGAAAAACATGCCCACTTCACTGAGAAGATGGTGCGCGCCGGGATAGGATCCCCTCCATTGGGTGAAAGGCGGCCAAGTTAACCCTGTAAAACCTAGAAAAGGTATCCGGGGATGACCAAGAGGCTGCTGAACAAATAGCTTCCAGAGAGACACCAGTCAAAGTGGCCCATGACACACTAACGCCCCTGGTGGAATGGCACCGTACACCAGCAGGGGGTTGTCGGCCTTGCCGAATGTATGCTTGTTCCAAGACATCTACAATCCAACGCGCAAGGTGCTGCTTAGAAAGGGCCTGCCCCTTGTAGCAAACGAACAGACTATCTAACTCCCGGAGAGAAGCTGTGAGTCTGACATACGCCTTCAGTGCCCGAACAGGGCAGAAAGGCTCATCAGGCCCAACCGCATCAAGGCGAGCAAGCTGGAGGGGCACAGTGTGGCCCGCGGATGAAGCCACCTTAGGAAGAAATGCCCGAACCAGCCGGGTTCCAACGGCAGTAGGACTTGTGAACAGACAAGGCATGTAGTTCACCCACACGCTTCGCTGAGGCCATGGCGGGGGGAAAAGCTGTCTTCTTTGACACACACTCAAGCCTTGCCTCCGCCAATGGTTCAAAAGGAGGAGAGCGCAGGGCAGCGAGGACAATAGATAGGTCCCACACAGGTACAACAGGGCGTGTGGGAAGGTGCAAACGTCGGGCACCTCTCAGAAACAAGGCAACATCCTTGTTACGACCCACTGTCTCCCAACTCACCACTGAAAGCCAGCAAGAGATGGAGGCAACATAAAGTTTCAGAGTGGATGGAGAGCGACCTTGAGAAAGCAGTGCTTCAAGGAAAGTTAAAATAACAGAAATAGGACAGTGTACAAGGTCCTCATTTCTTTCCTGACACTAGCGGCTAAAAACCTTCCACTTATAGGTGTACACTAGTCGTGTGGAAGGGGCCCTGGCATTAGTCATTGTGTGTCCGATGTCCCCGCCATACTCCGAGAAGGAAATGTCGGGCCCTGTAATGGCCAAACCCAGAGTTGGAGGCGACTGGGAGCGGGGTTCAGGATCTGACCCCCCAGCTGTGACAGAAGGTCCTTCCTGTGGGGAAGAGTCATTGGAGAGTTGCAAAAGAACCTGTGCACCAGTGGAAACAAAGTCCTCCGTGGCCACCGGGGGGCCACCAGAAGGAGCTGATATCCTTCCTGAAGGACCCTCAGGAGTTTTGGGCCTATCAGGGGTAGCAGCGGGAATGCATAAAGCATCCTCGGCCAGTCGTGCAACAGCGCGTCCCTAGGGGACTGGCACTGTCTGCCAGGGATAACCAAAGTGGCCAATGTGTCGTCTCTTGGGATGCAAATAGATCCACGGCTGCTCTTCCAAACCTCTCCCAAATAGCCCCAACTAGCTTTGGGTGGAGCCTCCACACACCCGGTGGTGGATACCCCCGAGATGGGATGTCGGCCGGAACATTCTGCACCCCTGGAATGTCGGCCGCTCTCAGACTGGCAAAAAGAGGGGCTGCCCAGGTCAAAACCTTCTGGGTCAGCCTTGGTAATGTCATCGACCGTGTTCCGCCCTGATGGTTGATGTGAAAAACCACAGACGTGTTGTCTGGCTGCACCAGAACATGCCTTGCCAACAGGTCTGGGAAGAAGTGCCGCAACGCACACTGCACAGCCTACAACTCCACAGCGTTGATGTGGTGCAGCTTTTCCTGGTTAGACTATGTCCCCCGAGCGATCTGTCGCTGCCCCGACGCCCCCATCCCAAGGTGTAAGCATCTGTAGAGACAACCTCTCGATGGGATGGCAGTGAACCCAGTGGAACCCCCCTCGCCATGAATGCTGCATCTTGCCACTGAGCCAGTGACGTGAGGCATTGAGGGGACACCCGCAGTTTTCTGCGACAGTGTGACACACAAGAAGGGTCCAGCCTCAGGCTGTTGAGCCACATCTGCAGTGGTCGCAGAGACAGTAGTCCCAGGGTTACTACCGTAGCGGCAGCAGTCAGCTTTCCCCACAGACAGAGATAAAGAATGAAGGGGGCTGGACAACCGGGAAGAAAGGCAGGCAGCATCTGCAGAATACCCTCGACATGCTGAGGCAATGGTCGAGTAGTTATAAAGAGAGAGTCCATCGCGATACAGAGAAACGTTACCTGCTGAAATGGAACTGGGTTGCCCTTCTGCCAGTTCTCACGAAGACCCAATAGGTCTATGTGATCGAGCAAGGTGCGTGTGTCTGCAGCGACTTGAGTTTCTGTGGGTGCACAGATGAGCCAGTCGTCCAAATATGGCCTGCAGAGGACACAAGGCTGCGGCCACGAATCGCGTCAACACACATCACATTTTGGAAAATAATTAACTTTATCACAATATGCAAATATTTTCAGAAGGACCTGTATATATAAATTAGTAGGGTTATAATAAGAAAGAGTTTAACATCAGCAACTTCTTAATTCAGAGTCTCATGACCAAGAAAATCCCCTTCTAATTGTAAAGGCAAACCTCTGCAGTCATTTTAGAAAAGCAGCCTGGATGTGTTTGGTGTTAGTGCAGACATTTAACCTGAAGGATTCTCAAAAGAAAAAAAATCTAATTTATTTACCTACATGATCAATGAACAGATAGAAACACAAACGATTAGTTCTGTTAAAAAAGGAAACTGTAAAAGGATCACAAACAAATATTCATGTTTTATTTAGGGAGAACATAACCTGTTTACATGTATCTGTGTTTTTAAATGCTGGTCCTGACCTGCGGACTCCGCTCGCCAGGGGGCGGTATGCGGCTGGCAAAGAGCAGGAAGTGCTCAAAATGGAGGAATGGAATGACGCGCTTCACAACAGCGGGAGAGCGGCATAGAAAACTGCTTTATTGACGGATCCATTCCGCGTCTTGTGTGTGATATTTGAGGTTTGGAGAAGCCTGCTTAGATTAGAGTTGCTGCTGCTGTAGAGCAAACCGGATCAAACAGGTAACAGCAGGAAGTTAGCTGGATTCTACCTCAGGCTAAAGCTAACTGTTAGCGCCACTCAGCAAAGATTTGGCTGAATAAGAGATGATGTGGAGAAAATGTTTAGACATTTTAGCGGATAATTAGACTAACATTAAAGTTGAAACGTCACCGTTGTTAAATGATCAGCTATTACTGCTAACCTGATGTAGCATGTAGCCGTTAGCTTGAAGCTCTCTGGCCTCCATTCATTAGCAGAATCCTTATTAACGTGCCTCCTCTTTACCTTAAGTCATGTTCACCATAAATACAGCAGTTTAAAGAAAACTATTTTAACATTGGGCTATTGGATGTCCCGTTAACATTTACGTAGCTGCGAAGTCACGTCATAGTTGTTTAATTGTCTCCTTAACTCCCTCTTAAAATCTTAGATTAGTTCTTTTAGAATATTAACTTAATGCTCCAAAGCATCAGAGGTGATTCCCGGCTTGACATTCAGTTTAATCAGAGCAGATTCTGCTTTTAGATCTGCTGGATTTTCACTTCAGTTAATAGTTATTTAAGCCCTGAGGGTCTGAGGAGCGAATTATACATGTAAAATAAAACAAGTTCAGCTCCCAAACTATAGATCAGAAATATAATTGTTTGTGTGACAGAAAGGCATTGAGGAATATTTTTCAGGTGGAACCGTTATTTTAAATGTTACCATGTCTGATTTATAGGTGATTAACCAAAGAAAAAAAAAATAAAATATTTTGTCTCCCCCAAATTTTATTTCCCAAATAAACAAAAAACACCATGAAAGCCCATTAGAAACTCTAGAAGAACCTCAGACTTTATAGATCCACATCTTGACTATAATTCAGGCTAATTTTGACTGAATTAGTTGAAGCATGTTTGTTCCACAAAGGTTTTAGTGGGCAGTGATCTAGGAGGAAATTGGATTTTAGTGCTGTGGTGCCAAAAGTGCAAAAATTAATTTTCCCGCTCATAAAAGGGTATCTGATATAATCAAATATGCTGATTTCCATTATTGGAGACCTTCAGCATAAGGAAAAGCCTTTGCTATTAAGATTTAGCCGTTGTTTCATTGAAATTTACCAATAATATCACCTAACTGAATAGTAAATAAGAATAACAGAGCAGCTAACGTAACGCATGCCGGTTACATCACCTGAAATGATCGCACAATGACCTCTGACCCCTCCTTAGAAAAGTCTGAGCCTCTAGGCACACATTTCAGGTGAAATTTTAAATCTCATTTTGTTTACACAGATTTAAAACAAAAAAGTATTTGTGAAAAAAAAAATGGAAACATATTTTAGAAATTTTAAAGCCCCATTTGAAAGATGTGTGGATAAAACACCATGCGAGTTTGTTTTGGTCATTTCTATAAACAGATAAAGATCAGCAGGGCCCTTTACCGGGCCCGCCGGGGTGGGAAAAGGTACAGCTGCTTTCACTGCTTCTCTTCCTGCAGGCGGTGATGGAGCCTTCAGAGGAGCCGGGGCCAAACTGTGGCCCTCAGGAGGTGAACCCTGTGTTCCTGCAGCAGCTTAGAGAGCTGGACATCCCAGAGGAAGCAGCCAAACAGGTAGATAGATCTACACATAGACATTATACACATAGACGCCTCATTGGACGCTGTCGGCAGTGAAGCCAATGTACCTAGAGGGTGGCCATCTTGGATCAGACCACAGTTCAGACAGCTGTTATGAATGAACAGGAGGCGCTTTAGATCTGATTTTAATCACATGAAAGACGAGTCGGAGATAATATTACAATCATCTCTTAGATGTCACAAGACCAAAAGATATTTTAAAATAACCTTTCAGTTACATTACACAGATTTATTCAGCTTAAACACTAAACTGAACTCAAACTGCATCAGATGTATACAAAGTTATATATTAATATATTATGTTTTACGTGTGTGTGTGTGTGTGTGAATATATATATATACACACACATGTGTCTAAAGGCTTTTTGTCCTTAGAAGTTTTCTAAACTTTTTCCACAACTCTTTTTCAAACTGTTTCTGTATAATTTCTGTCTATGTGAACAATTGTTCTTTAATCAGTTAATGTGTGCCATATATGATATATCTTTATATTTTAGAAAATGTTTTTTTTGGTTTTAAGGGTTTCTGACATGTAAGAGATTATTGTGATATTATCTCTGACTCTTTCATGTCATCAAAATGAGATCTAAGGCGCCTCATATTCATTCTGACAGCAGCTGTTGGAACTGTGGTCTGACCCAAGATGGCCGCCCGCTAGGCACGGTGGCCAGCGTCCAGTGAGGCGTCTATGGATCTATTCACACAGATCTGCTCTAGTAATGGATGCGTAAAGGTTCTATGTATCTGAATCTGTCTTGTTGGTCCCTTCAGGCATTACTGCACACTCGGAATGTGTCTGCTGAGGAGGCGGCCATGTACTACTTCAACAAACTGGAGAATGAGGTGCCCATAAGCTAGCCTTAGTCCCCTGCAGGTACACGGTGGTACTTTAGACCCAGTAGAGTTTGTCCAAATCCAAATCTCAGTGTGCCTTTGTCTACGGTGTGACACACAGGAGGAGGGGGACGATGACCTCATGTTCAAGATGGTGTTTGTGGTGAACATGGACCTTGGCATGGGTGTTGGAAAGGTAAATCCAGCGCTTCAGTCATGGTGAAGATCAGATTCCACCAGCCTGTGAATTTTCAGATTTGTTGAATCTGAGCTGAAAGGTTCCACTTGTTAGGGCTCTTATGACTAAAGGAACAGGAAACTTTATCTCTGTTATAAAAAGAAACACAATTTAGCTATGTTTGCTCAGCAATCCATCAACAACACTTGATTTTTGAGAGATAAGGTGAAATAATCGGCTTGAAAATATAAACGATCATCTTCAGCATGACTTGCACCTTTCTGAGCAGAAAGTGACCGTACCCTTCAACAAGCAGCAGGGGGCGGTACACGAACTCTCTACAATAGGGCTGGGCAATTAGTTGCATTTGCAATTAACAAAGCACAATTTTAAAATCGCAGAGGGAACAATTTTTAATTACACTATATTTAAGAAGAGTAAGATATAAAAACAATGTCCCTTCAGCCCTCTAGGGGGCGGTAGCAGTGGGATTATCATAGAGAGAGTAGCAGCTAGCAGCAGATCCATGCATGCATGCAGAGGGAAGCACTTTTTCACACAAAGCTTACAGTAATGGTCTGCAGCAATGCACTGTGGGTAAGCAAAATGTTTAAAATGCTAAACAGCTAAAGGCTAGGAGTTAGTGCACAGGAAAGACGAGGTAAAATCACAGTGTCTGTTAAAAATAATCACTTTTTTTTATTCCTGCCCTACTTTACGATCCGTACTATCAGCTCATCTGTGCAGACAGATATAGGTTTCAATAAATGATGCAATCATGGTACTAAGAGCACTTATTTCCACACTTAAATTGCTATAAAAAAATGCTAATACCTATATTTGTTTTATGACTTTTCTGAGACTATTTTAATGCTTTTTAAATTTTCTGACGTCATCATGGGACATGCTCAGAGCAGTTAATCTGATTAAACCATATTTATACTTCATTTTAGTTGTTTCTTTCTTTAGTTTACGCACTATATACCATAATGTTAACAGGAAAGGAAAATATTAAATTCTAAAAGTCTAGATTGATGTTTAAATCCAAAGCTGCTAAAGTTAGCTCCTGGAATTAGTGCAGGATCCCATTTCCTGTACAGATCAGGAACAGAGTGATTAAACAGAAAGGATTTAAATGCTTTTATTTTCTCAGGAAATACATCAATAACCTTTAAAACTGGAACTCCCACTGGCCGCCTGTTTGACGGACGCCATTTTTCCCAATGGAACGCATGAGTAGTGATGATTAGGCCTGTCACCATTTAATGGAAATGACGTAATAATGCATGCATTTTCCTGCCAAAGATAAACACACTTTATTTTCAACAGAACACTTAACACTGGAACTGGTTAAAAAAAATAAAACGAGAAATAAAAATCTAATGGATTCTCAGTCTCTGTTAACTAAAAACGCACTTAAATAAAAACTAAGCACAAGATAAAACCACAGTGGAAATAAAAACGTATGTGGGGGTATTATGTTTGTAATATGTATGTTTTCCTCGGGAGTTCATCCTGTCTATCAAATGTTGCAACATTTTTCAAAATGCCGGCTTTTCACCAACATTAAATGGAAGCATCTCTTTAGCAATTAAATGAACTACGCTGTCTGAGCGCGCGCCACTTTGCAACGTCGTTTTTTTATGCTGCCTGTTGATTAATGGCTTCAGTGATGGAGGACTGTCGCAAACCTGAAGACGCAGGCGGATCACCGCTCGTAATTTTTGTTTCCAGCTGGAGAAACTTTGCTGGGCGGTTGTACCTTTAGCTGCATGTGAAGGTTGGTTGTATTACTGCTCTCAGTTGCTGCTGTTTTATGACAAATGCGACGTACTGGCTCGCATAGGTTCAGCGGTTCGCCTCGGTCATTTGGTTTGAATCTGAAATATTCCCACACTGCGGCTGTTGCGCTCGACTTTTAAACCAGTTCCATTTCGAGCTTCCCCCCCCAACATAACAAGTTTTTTTTTTTTTTTTTTTACCTGGCTAACTCCTCATGGGGCTCTAAAGCTGCAGAAGTACTACCTGATGCGACAGTCCACTCTTCCTCCCTCCCTCAAAAATGAGGAAGGGGAGGGGTCAGTAGATGGCACTGGAGTCTTCATCCAGCGTCATCAATAGGAGAAAAACACAGGCAGACGATATAGCCGATAAATTAAATGATGTGGATAATTTTTATTTATCGTTCGGTTAATTGATTTATTGATTATCGCGACAGGCCTAGTGATGATGTCATCAACAGAAATAGATCTAGTGTGCGATATAAGCTCATTGTGAATATGTAAACCTCAAAACAGGTCGAATATATATTTTTAAAGGCTGTATTATTTGTATTAAAGATAAATCAGTAAACTAAATCAGACTGTTTTACTGCACAGGTTCAAAGTTTGAAATTACAGTTTGATTTTCCCCACAAACATTTCCTGCACACCTCCTTTTCACGTTTATGAGAAACATCATATGAGCGTTTTTTATGCCGTGCTGACGCTCCTGGCGCTGCTTTCTTTGCCTCGCCAAAGATGCTCTACTGCAGAGGGGTGGGGGGGGGGGGGCTAGTAACCTGCGGATCGCATGTGGTCGGCACGCAACTGTTTCACCAGTTCAAGGATAAAATCTCTGCAGGAGACAAACCAGAGGCGTTTATAGCTGCGATGTCCAGGGGATCATATAATGCAGCCTCAGGCCGCCTTCGCCTTGGAGCTTTTTACAGGATACTTTCTAATCATCGGATTCAACACATCCACACTAACCTGTAGTAGCCCGCAGGCCGTGGTTTGGGCCGCTGAGCGGACCGGCTCAGGTGATGTCAAACCTTAGAAGATTCACTATCGTCTGATGGGTCACTGATCTGTCTGCGTTGATGATCCTCAGACTCGTCAGCCGCCTTAGGTTTCCTCTGAAAGCCAATATTTCCGTCTTATCCAAAGACTTCTGGGTAGAATGATGGTTGCTAGGCAACGGTACTGAAGGTCGATCAACCACAGAATTTACAATGCAAAACTAATAGAGCTGTCAGAATGACTGCTGTGGGCGATGGAGGTAAAATTAACCTGATTTATTTTTTATGTTTTTATTTTATAAAAGAAACGATGCGGAAATAAAGGAAGTAAACATGAGAAACGTATGAATAATGTAAATAAAGTTCTTTCCCTATAAAATATCAGAACCGTCAAAATGACGGCCTTGGGAGTTCTAGTGTTAACATGTTATGGTTTAGTACGCTCGCTATTTTAGGGATGTATATCTGGTTAACGATGAGCTGATGGTGCGGATGGGGTAGGGACAGGCTGTCTGCTGGTCCCAGTAACGTCCCCGGTGCTGAATGTGTGCAGCTCGCCGCCCAGGTGGGTCACGCTGCGGTGGGCTTGTACCAGGCTCTACAGGAGAAGAACAGCTGGAGGGAAATGGCCTGGAAGTGGGACAGCAGCGGGTAAGGCCCATTCTCATCCCAGACATTCCAGGAACCAGGAAAACCTCCTCCCACCTTATCCTGGTAGATTTAGTCTGTTTTATTGAATTTATACAATAAATTTCATGGTGTTCGTTGTGGGATACCAGTAATATTTGGAAACACCTCTGCACCCAGGTTCCCACAGTGGCTGGATAGTGACAGAATCACCAGTTTGACCAGCGTGTTTGCTGACTTTTTTCCAAGATGTAAATGATGTGAGTTTGTTGTTCATACAGCGCCAAGAAGGTGGTGCTCCAAGGCACCAACGTGGCCCACCTGCTGGAGCTCCAGGCCCTGAGCCTGAGCCTCAACCTGCCCACCTACCTGGTCCAGGATGCAGGTCTGACCCAGGTGGGTCTCTGAGGCAGCAGATGAATAACTGAGTCATCTATCGGTCTGATGAAGGTTTTTTTATGGAATAACAACCGTCTCTGCAGGTGGAGTCTGGGTCCCGCACTGTGTTGGCCCTCATGGGAGCAGAGGAGATGGTGAACAATGTCACCGGCAGCCTGAAGCTGCTCTGAGGGGCTTTGGAGACAAATCTCTGCAGTGGCACCAATCAACCAGGAGGGGGCAGCCTTTCTCAGAGGCACAAGAACGTTTGGGTTCCATGGGCTAAAACCGCACTGAACCGGAACTGAATCAACCCACCGCTCGTTTACTGTTACTATCAGGAAGAGGACATTCCTGAATCCGATTTCCACCCACCTTCTTCCTAGCCGGTCAAAGAAGCACTGTCCCACTGGTGATGGTTAGTTTAGTGGTTGTTTCTGTGCCTCCCTGAATGATATAACCTCCAGAGTACAAGCTTTCTGTGTCCACATGTTGTCATCTTATCAGACTGCAAAGATTCAGTTTTTAGGTAAATGAGGAAATTCTTTGTTTCACATTTGTGTTCTAACTTGTATCAAAGCTCAAACCCGGCACCAAAAACTCCACTAACATTTGGAACTGGCTCTAAATATGTCCGCCATGGATGATATGCTTAGGTCATTTAAACATGGATGTGTTTGTGGTTATATTTTATTGCTCATAGTGTCGCATTTTGGGTGCCGAGTTATGATTATGCATGAGATGTAAAATGTATGACTATTTAATCTGACATTAGAAGACTGTCGTATAAACTGTTAGTCCTGATGTTGCTGTATCAGTCTGTTGATCATTAAAAAACCTACATAATCAATGCTGATGGTGTGCTTCATATGTAATCCTGATGGAGGGGGTAGCCACGCCCCTTCCGGCCATACAGCGGCGTCTCGTAACACCCCCCCCCCCCCCCCCCCCCCCCTCCTTCCCTGTGGCTGGCTGAGGTCATCTGTGCTGTTTGGTTTTTATTCAGCAGATGGAAGAAAGCCTTAGAGGGAGAAATAAACATTACAATTACTCACTTCAGAGTAAAGAAATGGAAAAAATGGTGGAATGAAGATAAAAAAAAAAGGAATCTCTAAAGTACAAAAGTCTGTATTAAATGGAAATATTAATGAAACAGAAGTAAGAAAAAAGCGATTAAGAGGAAAAAATTGATAAATTTGAAGGATGCAGAGAAAAATAAAATGTACCGATGAACTGTAAAACTTATGAACATGAAAGGAAGAAATTGAGAAGAATGGTTGGAAGGACGGCCCAAGAATGGAGCCTGAAAGGAATATCAGGGAATGAAGGTAATATAAAGGATGAAGGAAATTATCTTCAGAATACAAAATTAAAAATAAAATTTGATAGATGTAGTTGTTACACACGTACAGTAGGTGGCGGTATGCTTGCGATCTGCCATAATAGAGAAGAAGAAGCGTCACATCCATTAAAAGGTTCATTATTTTAATGTTTTTTTCCATTTTCTCCGTTAAACAGCTTCTCTGACGTCATCAGTAAATCTGATTAAACCATGTTTATCTGCATTTTAGTTGTTTGTTTCTTTGGATTATGCACTATAGACCATAATATTATCACGAAAGGAAAAAATAAAACTCAGACTAGATTTAATTTTAAATCCAAAGCTGATAAAGTTAGCCACCGCAAGTAGCGTAGGAGACGACTGATAAAACAGCCCGATTTGAAGGACGGGGCCGATGTATCCTTGGTTTACCCAGGATTCATTGCGAGATCAATCAAGCCGGCTGCTCCGTGATCAGAGGAAAGGTTACATGGCGCCGAACAGTGGTGAAAATTGGAAGTTCAGTTTAATATAATACAAGTATGTGAATAGTTCCTTGTGAAATGAATGAAAATAGTTGTTTTAATGCTTATAGAGTCAGATATGTGGTGGTAATGTTTGATTTATCTAAAGGTTTTTATCTTTTACTGTGTAAATGGGTTTGGCTGGAATTTAAGGACAGATTCTAACATATCTGCAGTGTGGGGACTATAAATCTGATAGGATTTTATTGGTTTTTGCACAATAAGAGATTTTTTGTTGTTGTTGAATATTATTATTACCCGCCACAGGGTAGACCTGTTTGAATTCACAGCCAAAACTCTTCCGGTCTCCTTATTTTCACGGACTTCGAATGATCCAGTCCAGGTAGACCGCCTACTTAGAGGATGCAGCCCATGAATTCGAACAGAGCCGTAGTTTAATTTAGGTTTTTTAACAAAATAAAATTGAGGGCGACCGGGAAGCGCAAATGAGCTGATGGCGCATGCGCAGAAGGGATCGGGTAGTGACAGCCATTGACAGCTTTAAATATCTAGAAGGCCTCAACTAGTTTTTAAAACCATTTTCTTTCCTGTCCAATTCCTTCCCATTTTTCTCAGCGGTTGTCATTCCACTGTTCCACAAGCTCAGAGTCACTGAATTAACTCTGAGTTTAACCCACCCCCTTGGGGAGCAGTGGGCTGCCATTGTGCTGCGCCCGGGGAGCAGGGGGGGGATAAGGGTTTTGCTAAGGGACCCAGAGTGGCAGTCTGCGGGAGTGGGATTTGAACTTTGAACCTCAGGATTCCAGGATCTACACTAGGCCGCCAATTTCCGAGGCTTGACTTTCCTGCCCCTCCCTGCAACACATGACGTTGGGTCTTTCAGCGCGTCCAATCGCAGGCCGCCCCCTGGTCTTATGACATGACAAAGCTGATGACGTAATCTTGAATTACACAAAGCTAATGTTAAAGAAAGCTGCAGGAAGGTATCGGTTCATTGTTCCTGATTGGTGTTTCCCTGTGAGGATGTGGTTCCATGTCAGAATGAAACACCTCTGGCTGCCAAACAACATGGCGGTCCTTTGTCAGCCTCGGACATTTCACTAAGCCGTTTATTTTGGCGTCTGCGTAGCAGTGAAATAATTCTGTCTGAAAAGGATTTAAGTCACAATCCAAGCCGGAGGAGAGGGCCACTTTCCCCCTCCAGATGTAAGTGACAGGCCGGTAGGTGGGGCTGACCCAGTGGGCTAACCCTGCCTCCTGCAGCCCTGGAAATGAGCCCAAGAGACCCCGTGCGGCTAACGATTACCATTATGCATAAACAGCACTCGTTCCAGAACAAACAAGTTCTAAATACATAAAATAAGGTAATCCCACTATAAAAATTAGGTTAGCTCCATTGGAATGTTATATTTAAAGAAAATTTCCGGCATCGAAGTCGACATATATCCTTGGAGTAGCAATCTGGCTCCCAAATCCATCTACATGCTCCTTTCCGTGTGCTTCACCGCCCTGAAACTAAAGGATAAAACCCTCTGACTGGAGAGGTACTCGCCCTATTTCATCCTGCAATGGAAACTAATAATCGACACTTCAACTCACCAATAGAATTCAAGTATTTTCCGTAAAACCGAAGGAAACAAATTTTAAGGTCCAATCAACGGCAAGAGGCGGGACATCTGGAAGGCCCACCCATACTGCCTGCCCCTGCACGAAAGCATCGGAAACCCCGTAGCTTGATTGTGTGTCCGTTTGGTTGGGGCCTGTGGTGGAAGCCGGCGAAGAGGAGGGGGGATGGGCGCTCCGGAGAGCGTTAGTACCCGAGACAGAACCGGAGCCCCCGTATCACATCCAGCGGTGTATAACCCATAATAAACAGCGACTGTAAATATAAAAGACACATCACTGGAGTTGTTAACCGGAATTTATAAAAGACACCTATGGATTTAGAGGAACCTAACAACACAAGGGTTTTGACTTTTCGACATTTTTTGGGAGATAGCAAGAACTTTGTTTCCTAGCCTTGAGGAGGGAGCTACTTGTGGGGCAAAGGATAGAGGAGACTCCGAGGGGGATATCCAGGCCTACTGGTCTAATTGGAATTGATGTTGGGATACTCCAAGGACTTCCATACTCCACGGTTCTGTCTGGTTTGTAAGGGATTTGGAATGACTCTTTAGGTAAGCACCTGATATATGCAACACCTTGTTTTACATTTTAAGGTTTTTATGAAGAATTGAACCAAATCAACCCTGTTTTCTGTCTGCCATGACTATGCGGCTAACTGGGCTAGCAGACAACCTGCTTCCACTGAAGTTTCTTCCAACAAGTTTCTGTTGGAGACGTTAGTATTTCCTTCTGAATGTGATGTGTTTGCTAGCTAAAACAGCAGCTAAGATCAGATGTGGAGGCAGTGATCCTCCCAGGGCTGCTGCTTCTCTGCCTCTTTCATCAGTCCCTCGTGTGTTGTTTTTTTTTTCTTAGTTTTCTTGCATCGTCAGAATTACTTATTTATGCCAGTTTTTCAAATAATCACGATCAAACCCTGTATTCAGATTTAAAAACTTTTATACATGTGCAATATTTTGAAAAACAAAACCCTGTTTATTTCCATCGTCGGTGTTAGTAGATTTAGTGATTTGTTTTTGGATTGAATGCGGTAGAACTGGTGCAAATAAGTGAAAAATGAACCGTCTCCTTGGGGGTTTTAGAGTAAGTTTCCCCCAAAGAGGCGTTATAACATCACCAGGTCTGTTATTAAAGCGCTGCTTTATTTACCTGTTTATGTCTATTTTTTTAATAGTGCAGTTAAAGCTTTAAATAAGTCTGGTGTCATATTTGTGATGCTTTTAGGTTCACAGGCAGTGGGCAGGCTAACCGTTAGAAATGTTGTTTATATAACCGTTTAGGTGGTTGTTTTTTTGGCCGCATGGTGTTAGGCTTTCTTTGGGTGTCCAATGAGATAAAACCTTTTGAAAATAAACTTTTATTCCACCTGCAGTTATGTCTTTTTCGACGACTCCTAGCCTAGCTGCTAACAGCAGCTAGCATACCAACCGGGCAGCAAATGCTAGTAGCCGCTGGGCTAACTTGGTGGCTGTTCTTCAGCTGTGTGTGGCGGTCTGTAGCCTCCATCAGCTCATCTGTGGTGTGACTGTCCTCCTGGGTGGTGTGGGCCGGTGGATCTGCTGCCATAAGGCGGCCTCGGTAAGCTCATCCCCTGCCTGATGTGAAAGCAAACAATCCCTGGTTCAAAGTCGAACCTTGTCTGCTTTATTTTTTTCCTTTTTTTACTTATGGTTTCCTTTTTCTAACACGTGTGAATGTTCTCGATGAGAAAGCCTGATCTTGTAGTTAGTTAGCTCCGCTTCCTGCCTCGGTGGAGGCTGAGAGGAGCGGCTGGTATCGCCCCCATGTTTGTTGTTTCAGTGGGAGGAAATCTCGGTAGTGTTGTTGATCTCCGGTACCAGCGATGGGCCACTTCTTAGGGAAACGCTTTTACACCTCACTATCTCGTTTTAAACTCTTAAATAATTGTGTATATTTTCTGGAGACTCTGCATTAGTTTGATATTTTCTCCTTTATAAATGTCACATTGGAACTTTTAAAGAAGCAAACATTTTAATTTGTGGGTGCTATCATTGAAGGCTTGCTGGTTTGCTCTTAAAATGCATGTGAATAAGGGAATAACATGCAATATTTATGGCAAAACATTTTCCCTGAACTCTCCAAACATGTGATTAGTTCATATGAATAACCTTGGGCTTTGCTACAGCGGGTATGTTCCTGCTCTTAGGATTCCATCTTGCATTGTTCTGTCAGACTCTAAGGCTGTTTTTCAATCTGTGTACTTGTGCATTCTCGTGTCCTCGTGAAACGTCATCAGCCTCAGCCCTAGTACTGTTCCAATTCACTAGAACAGCAGTCCCCGGATGTTGTTCTGTCCCCTCCCTCTTTACCCAACATGCATCAGAGAGGACTTGTCCGTTCTCCAGACTGACAGCTGTCCCAGCATGCACTGCGGCAGCAGCAGCTTCCAGGTTAGCGCTCACAGAGATCAGAGTATTAAGTTAAAAGTTCTCTTCTGTTGCCGTTGTTCAATAAAATTACGTCTTAAGATTGGAGCGAGAACTTATACTAAAATTCTGAAACTGGGAGGACCTTCCAAGAGAATTAGCAGCCAGGGCTACCGCTGGCCCGTCTGCGGCGGCCAGGGCTACCGTTGGCCCGCTTACAGCATAGCTGTGTGTGAAGTACCGCTGGCTCTGACAAAGGTTTTAAATGAAATGTCATCTTTTATTCTCTATATTCTATTAATAACAGCAGGTGAAATGCGGCTCCAGACTAGCTTTGAATGTGGTGATGTCATCAGTACGCTGCTGTTCCAACTGACCCAGATTTATTCTGCGTGCTTTCGTTCTCCCAGAGTCCAGACTTTCCTGTGTTCTTTTTAAGAACAGGACTTGAGCAGTCCGTACTCGTGTTCTTTTTGCATTTCATTAACGATCACCCGATCCAGTCGTTTAATTTTAAAGATGTTGATTACCTGGAGAGAGTACTTCCTGTTTGTTCTTTTTAAATCATGTTTGTGTTTTGCTGTGATCTCTAACCCAGCTGTGTCCCGTCTGCCTGCTTCTAGGCTGCTGTTATTCATCACACACCTTTGCTTTGTCTGCGCTTCTTATCTTTCGGTCTGAAACTGGATCCATGGCCTTCAATTCTGCATTTTCATTTTTATTTGCAATGTCATTTGTTCACTATGTCATATCCAGGTTATCATAGTGAAAACATTTTTAATGCTTTGTGGCTTACTGATTGTCAGTGAGATCATGGGCCACACAGAGAGCTTTTGGAAACTTTATTTACCGTTTACCTGGGACCTCGTTGACCTTGCTGTAGAAGTATGAAACGTACCTTTCCTTGTGTGGGTGTTGGACTGGAGCCTTGCCAAGCATTTGGTTTGATTTTGATGTGTGCAAACCTGATTGGCGTGTGTGGGGCAGACTTTCATTGGTTGGAGCTGACATTCTCTGAATATGTTTCACATCTTTTAATAGACCGTGTGGCTGCAGCTTTCCAACCTGGCCACTTGGAAGCAGTGGTAACATGATCTTTCCAACACGCCCCCTGACCTGTGCCTTCTTGTTATCTTGAACAAACATTGTGCTTATTGACAGACAGAAGAAGCGCAGCCTGCTCTGTGTGAGCATGGAGTCAGCTAGCTGCCACAGGAAATTTCAGAATGAGCCTCCGGCTGCTTTCTGAACAAACCCGAGCTTCTCTGCCCACCGTGTTATGACTCAGTGCTGTTTTTATCACCGTAGTGGAAATGTTTCTTGTATGAATGAATTGATTAGCTTTAAATAACGCATAAAATGAACCTTCTAGGTGTTTGTAGGTAGCCAAATTTCATGTAATTGTCCACGAAAAATGGAAGTCAGTGAAAAGTCCTAATAAGGACGGCCGAATTCCTGTGTGTGTGGACCTGTCTGCAGGATGTACACCCTTCTATGGGCCTCTGAAAGTTTGGAGATCTGTGGAATGCACAAATAGTCAAGGTTAGTAGGAACATATTTTTTGTTAGGAAGGAAGCGAAGCCTTGCCAACACATTCACGTGAGCAATGCAGTCAGAAAACCGAGAAATCCACAGTTTTATCTCTAGCTCTTAGTCCTTTAAGCTGTATTTAGGTGACGTGAAGTTGGTTGCTCCTCCTCCAGAGCTATAGCTCACAGAAGTGTTGCAGCTTCTGACAACAATATAACTGAAATGTGGGCTAACGTCACTATTAGCTGTTGAAGAGGGAACTTCATCCTTTAAGCTCTCTAACTCTGTCCTTCATGGCATACAGAGTAGAGCTCTATTAGCAATAATTACCCATTATGGGTTGATGTTGCTTTGCTTTGTTTCTGGGAGGAGTTTTCAAGCAGTTATTTATTTTTTGACAGGGACAGTGTACAGTAATTAGCATTGCTGCAAATGCACCAGAATTAGCCAAGAGGCTATTTTCCATCTGTTGTCCCTGGACAGATCTTAAACTTGTCTATCTAAAAACACAACAGTAAGAATTTTACAGTGAAGAATAGAAATATTAGGGGTGGAACGGTTCACAAAATCCTCGGTTCGGTTCACGGTTTCGTGGTCACGGATTCCGGTTCGGTATATGTTGATTGTTACACCAAAAAATAAAAAAATTAATAAAAATGATAAAAAATTCATGAAAAATAAAAATTTATGAAATTAATGAAAAAAACAAAAAAATTTATGAATTGTAATTATTTTAAATGATCCGCGGAAACCCTGGATCATTTCCGCATGTTTTGCTGCTTTGAATGTAATCATCTGGCGCATGCCCTCTACGATCTCCAAGGAACTCAGAGCGGAGCGGACGGGAGCCACAGCGGAGGCTGTAGGCTTTGCTTTGAGCAGCCGGTCTGGAGCGCAGCGCAGCGGAGCGCTGACGGAGTATGTGGGATTTCGGGGTTAGCATGACATGTTGGTCGTGTTGCTGTTAGCATAAACAAAACGTGTTGCACAATGCTTGCACACTGTTGCACTTTTATCCACAACTTTCTTTCCGCAGTCATCGTAGGTCACTCTAAATGCAAAGTGGTCCCATACAGCAGACCTATAAAGTGGTTGGCTTTGGTCGCAGTACTGCCACCTTCTGCTCTGGAGTGTAAACGCTTCGCCTATGAGAAAAAGGAGCAGCGAATGAACCGAACGCAACACACGCGAACCGAACGGTTCGGACGGTTTTCATAAACCGTTCCATCCCTAACAAATATAAGAAGAAATTAAACAACTGTTCAAGTCATGTTTTGCTAAATAGATCATATATAACAGATTTCAAATGTGATCGAATAAAGGTCCTGCTCAAATTATTCAGATCTGTAGCGTGTTTCCATTTTTCATTTTGACTTCTCAATAAAGGTTAAAAGTTGTATTGATTTCAAACACTGCAGCTCATTCTCTAAGTGGTGACCAGCTGTTGGGGTTTCAGCAGAAGTTTCTTGTTGCGTTGCAACACAGCGTAACCTGAATAGTTCTCTATGGAGCGGTTAGAACAGACGTTGGGACACAGCCATGGCTACTGAAAAGTAGCCAATCACAGGCCGGATGCTTTCTGACACCTTCAAAGGGACAGAAGTTGACATGATCGAGCAGAAACGGGTCCACAC